AGACTTACAAATTTTTGTGCTTGCGTTTCAGTTCTACAATGATCGAGTACCCATCCCTCCACCAGTGCCCATTCTCCACCACCACCACCGGTCCCAGCATCCCTCCCACCCCCCTTCCCCCATCCCACTCTACCACTGTGGCAGGGCATTCCCTTTTGTTCTCTCTCTCCTTTTGAGTGCTGTGGTTTGCGAAAGAGATATTGAGTGGCAGTCTTGTTCAGACTATAGTCTACTCTCATCAAGCATTTCCCATCCTGAGAGGAACCTCCCAACACCCTTTATTTGGTGCTCCCTTCTCTGTCTGAGCTGCCTTTTCCCCTAGCGTGTGCAGTTGTCCTCAAAGCCATGGAGTAATCCGCCTGGTACTTATCTTTTTTTTTTTTTTAAACTAAAGCTTACCCCTAAATTTATCTTTAGGTTTTCTGACTTGGTAGTTAATTAGGTTGTAATAATTTACTGATGCACTGTTATTTATTCACCTTGATTTAAGAGCTGGAATGTGGAGGGTCCTGTTAAGCTCCTGAGCTCCAGTCACTCTCTGCAAAGCTTTGGGAACCATAAGGGGCCAGGGATGGAACTGGCTGCAGAAAGCAAGACCCTTCATAAGGCCTTACTCCCTTTTCTATCTGGCCCCTCTAGCCCTGTTTTGAATACACTGATATAGTTTGACATTTTGCATGTCTTATTTAGAAGAATTTACTTGTAAGTAATTGTCTAGACTTTTAACTGTCCTAACACTTAACCTCTTTAAACCCAGGTTAACCAAGGAGCTGGAGCGATAGCACACCAGGTAGGGCATTTGCCTTGCATGCTGCCAACTCGGTTCAATTCCCAGCATCTTATATGGTCCCCCAAGCACCACCAGGAGTAATTCCTGAGTGCAGAGCCAAGAGTAACCCCTGTGCATTGCCAGGTATGACCCAAAAAGCAAAAAAAAAAAAGAAAAAAAACAGTTTAACTGTTAATTGCTAACAAATTTCACACAAAAGCTGTAATATCCTTCAGAAGACACAAAATAAGTATAACCACACAATTGTTGTAATTTTGTTGTTTTTTTTTTAAAGATTTCAAATTCAACCACAATGGTTTTTTTTTTTTTTGTAGGAGTACTGCTATTTATTCAGCCACTGATTAGCTGATTGAATTGGGCATGAACTCCACCTTAATTTATTTATTTATTTTTTTCTTTATGTTTATTTATTGAATCACTGTGGAAAATGTCACTAAGCTTTCAGGTTTAAGTCTCAGTCATACAATGATCAAACACCTTTCCCTTCACCAGTATTCATTTTTCACCACCAAGAACCCCAGAACCTCCCACCCCTCCAAATGCCTGTGAGGCAGATGATTTCTACTTTTCTCTACATTGATTACATTTGTTATTTCAACAAAAGATGCACCATTATTGTTTAGAATTTCCCCCCAATCAGAATTGCTGAAAAGGCATTGTGAAATATTTTGTTTTCTATAGCTGGTTATGAGAATCATATAATGTCACGCAGCCACAATTTTGGACTTCTGCAAGGAGCCAGATAATTACGAGATTGGTTTCCGTGTGTCCAGTGTTATGGCCGTGCCAGAGAACCTCTTGTGGGGGGTAACTCATGACCTCGGTAGGGCGTGAAGGACGTGTCGGTACCGCCCCCCTTCCCATGAGACTGCAGTTGCCCCTTCGCCTCCAGCTCGTACCTGGCTTTCCTATAAGCTCTGAGGCGGTGGCCACCTTCCTGCCAGGGGGCGGGGGAAGGCAGAAGGGAGCAACATTCTTTCCCTCCTGGGGAGGCATGGTACCATAGTTTAATGCATGGTCCATTCACTTTTCTGCTGCAAGCTGCCGGGTTCTGGATTAAGTCCTTTTGCCTCTGGAGCCATGGCCATGCCAGAGAGCCGCTTGTGGGGGGCAACTCGTGACCTCAGTAGGGTGTGAAGGACGAGCCAGTACCGCCCTCCTTCCCATGAGACTGCAGTTGCCCCATCACTGCCGGCTCATACCTGGCTTTCCAATACACTCTGAGGTAGCAGCCACCTTGCTGCCCGGGGGTGGGGGGGGTGGTGGGAGGTGGAAGGGAGCAACACCCTTTCCCTCCTGGGGGAGCATGGAGCCTGTAATTTAACGCATGGTCCATTCACTTTTCTGCCGCAAGCTTCCAGGCTCTGGATTAAGTCCTTTTGCTTCTGGAGCCATGGCCATGCCAGAGAGCCACTTGTGGGGGGGCAACTCGTAACCTTGGTAAGATGTGAAGGACGAGTGTTGTAATTTTCTTCTTTTCTTTTTTTTTTTTTTGCTTTTTTTTTTTTTTTTTTTTTTTTTTGCTTTTTGTGTCACACCCGGCAATGCTCAGGGGTTACTCCTGGCTCATGCACTCAGGAATTGCTCCTGGCGGTGCTCGGGGGACCATATGGGATGCTGGGAATCGAACCTGTGTCTGGGAATCGAACCTGTGTTGGCTAAGTTGGCTGCGTGCAAGGCAAACACCCTCCCCGCTGTGCTATCGCTCCAGCCCAGTGTTGTAATTTTCTTAACCATCTTCTTTCTATTTCATTTAGAGAGAATTTTCCACCTCCATGTTTGAGGCATGCATGCAGAGATTCAGAGTTTTCCTCTGTTGACAGATTATTCATTAAATCTCTAGATGAATTTACATGTAGAGATTAGATTATATAAATAATACTAGTGGGTGTTATTGATTGTTATATGACTTAAAATCTGTAAATTAGTTAACCTTTTGCTTTTTCCATGGGTCATTATAGATCAGTCGTCTTGTGTTTTCCTTTCAAGATCTAGTAACAGTACTTCTTCACTCAAGGTTGCCAGGAGGCTCTTAAAAACTTTGACTTATGGAAAATGACATAAAAAGAAAGCAGATCTTCAAAAACATCCTTTGTTCAGCACGACACATAGGGATTGCTTTTTTCTATCAAAATTATAAACAATGTTTGTAGGATAACTTTGGCTTGTCCTTTCTCCATTGCCACAAGGAGCACCCATCACAGTGCTCCCAAGTCATTCCCATTCCTCTGTTTATCTGTAAACTCTTCTCTGTGCTCTCCTCCCTAGCCAGTTGATCACCTTTTCTCCCTAATCAGATTATGTTAGCTTGTAAGATCAGATCCTTCTAAGGACTCAGTACTCGTATTGTAAATTATGTCTTTCCTATAATTTACCTTAAAGTAATGTCCTTCCTGTATGGACACAGGAAGACAGTTAATATTATGCTTTGTAATTTGGGAGTTAATTGACTCCGAATAATACTCAGTTTCCCTTAGTTCCTAGCACCCCTAAAGCAAGGTCCCGACGAGGGACCCAGGGCAAGTTGTGAGATAAGTTGAGGGCATGATTATGGACAAATGCTGTCATGATCCAAAAGTAAGTAACGACGAGACTAGGACCCTGCTGGGGCTAGGAAGACTAACCTGGCCTGAGGACTGCGGAATATATGGTGAGGTGTCCTCAGGAAGAACCAAACTGTAAGTTTATATCTCTTACTGTGTTCATACAGAATGACATTGCTAGAAATATTGAAAGTACTAGCTGAGGAAAGAACACACCCTTGTTGGGATCCCACCTTTGAGCAGATCTCCTAGTAATCTGGAATAATCTCTTTAGATGAGATTTTATCCTTGAGTTAATCTCCTCGAGGAGTGGTCTTACCTCTCTTTGCTGATTTGTTACTCTTCAACCTACCTTTGTGTCACCACCCCATTTTCATTTCATCATTTCATTTCATCATCCTGTTATTCGTCGATTGCCTCGAGCAGGCCCCAGTAACGTCTCTTTCATCCTAGCCCTGAGATTCTATTCAAGGCTCTTTAGGAGAATGAGACCCATCATTGTTACTGGTATTTGGCATATTTGGTACGCCACGGGGAGTTTGCCAGACTCCGCCCTGTGGGCAGGCTACATTCGATAGCCTGCAAGTTTGTCCAAAGTAGGAATGACATAATAAGATGTCATAAAAAGATGTCCTGATAAGATGTCGGTTCCGGGAGATGGATTTTATAGTCTCTGAGTCTTGGCCGTTGATGGAATTACGGGGGGCCAGGTGGTGGGTGTGACCCCCGCCTACTGGAATTTGGAGGATCTGGGTGGAAGATGCTCGACTCCAATCCGAGTAGGCTTGGAGATCTCGGCCCCGGAACCCGCGTGGCTTTGTCCCTCTGCCAGTACCTTCATGTGTGCGGAGAGTGGTCTCAGCATGGTGGTGGCTGGTCCTGGAGGTCTTTGGCTGCCGGAGCCCTGGTCGGGGCGGGGAGGAAAGCTCAACCTGCTCCCCTCCAAGGCGCCCCGGCGAGGAACAGCCAGGCGCGGGGGCAGAAGACTGCACTATTCTCACCACCCCATATGATTGCTATATAAACTAAGACTGTAAGCTCTGAGGGGGTGAGAAGGCACAAGCATGCAGGAGAAAGCTCAGGCTGAGGAGGAAGCTGAGGCTCAGACTTGGGCCCGGGCCCCAGAGGGAAGAGTCAGAGGTGCGAGGGTCTTAGGCTTGAGAGAGAGAAGCAAAGGGGTGGGGGAAGATTGGAAAAAACGACAATTAATACGACCGGCCAGCGTGACCCTCGTTCGTTCCTTCGCCTGCCCATCGCCATCGACTTCCCTGGGGAGGGGAAACGGCTCAAGCTACCGAACATGGGCGGCAGGAGAGAGAACATGGGCGGCGGGAGAGATAGAGTGCCGCTGGCCTTCCAGAAACACACAAATGTTCAGCATGTCATTAGAATATCATTTGCAGTGGTTGCTCAACTCAGTCTTTCAAAATTATTGTGGCATACATGTTGGTTTAAAGTTGTCCAACAAAGGACTGGAGTGATAGTACAGTGGGTAGGGCGTTTGCTTTGGTGTTCGTTTCCCAGCATCCCATATGGTTCCCCGAGCACTCCTGGCTCTGCACTCAGGAGTAATTCCTGAGTGCAGAGCCAGGAGTAACCCCTGAGCATCGCCAGGTGTGACCCAAAAAAATAAATAAAGTTGACTAACACAGTTGTTACTCTTGCAGGATGGCGTCCAATTTAAATCTGGATGAATTGCCTAGACTATCTTATGTTATTAGTGCTGACCCAGTGGTAAGACCTTCAGAAATAAATTTTGATGCCATTAAGCTTGATCTCTCACATGAATTTTCCTTAGTTGCTTCAAACAATGAGGTGAGTACAAGAAAAGCACTGTTTTGACTATCTTAATTGAGTGGAAATGTGTGTCTGCATGGAAATATGGTAGATCTAGAATAAAGCTTTTCTGACTGGATTTTGGGTCGGAGAGGTAGCTCAGCAGACTGAATGCATCTTTTGCATGCAGGAAAATTGGGTTAAACTCTGGTCACAAAGCACCTCCAGAGTACAAACCAGAACGTAGCCCCTGAGCACCACCATTCCACAGTAAAAAATCTGTAGATTTGAGGCAACCTTCCATTTTAGTAACTTTTTCATGGTTTACTCCCAATTGAGATACCATGATTTACAGTACTATTGATGTGTTCATTGTTAATAGTAACTGATAAATTTTTTTTGTTTTTTAAATTTTATCTTCATAAAGCTATTCACAATAATTGATTACATTCAACAGATACATCAGGTGGTGTATCGTTAGACATCTGGGGAGGAAAAGGTGTTCCAATTAATAGATCTAGTCACTTTTTATAGATTCTGTTATGAGTGTCTCTTTCTTCCTACCCACTTCTACTCCTCCCCAACCCTTTCATTTTCCAAATTAGGAATATGGGATTGTGGTGCCAGAGATTGAAAAAGGGTTAGTCCCATGCAGGCAAGTGCCTTATACCTCTATAATGTCTTTACAGCCCACTTTAAAGAAAGATGACCTATGAAAAGTCCTATTTTGTATCTTTAACATAAAGTTATCTTGCTCCCTTTTTTTTTGTTTTTTAAGACAAGCAGTTTGGAACCCAAAGATTATCTCCAAGTTTATCTTCGAGTGAGACCATTCACACAATCAGAAAAAGAACAAGAGACTCAGGTTTGTGTTGAGTTTGCTTGGGGTTTATTCTTTTACTTTTTGTATTGAATGAACAAAATACCATTATTTTCATTTATTTGTTAAGTTTCATTTTATGTGTTGTGTTCTATTTAGGGTTGTGTTTATAGTTTAGACTCCCAGACTATTATGCTGAAAGATCCTCAAAGCATCCCTGGTAGGTTAAGTGAGAAAAGTTCTACGCAGATGGCACAGAAATTCAGTTTCTCTAAGGTAGGTACATTGGAAAATGTGAACTTGAAAAGTCTTCTTTTAGGAGAGGGAAACTTAGGCAGATTTATTACAAAATTGTGTAAACAGACTGCTCTGTGTGTGTGTGTGTGTGTGTGTGTGTGTGTGTGTGTGTATTTTGTGCTTGTGAACTTAGATCTTAAGCACCGGTACTTTTTTTCTCAAGTCTAGGACTTAAATGCCAAATTTAATACATGTATAATGGTAGTGAACAAATCAGTGTATGGTTCTTAAAAAATTTTATCAAGAATATTTGTAAGAGTTAGGAATACAGTACTATATTAAGAATGAATCTTCTAAAACAAATTATTTTAATTTTTAAAGTATGAGTGATGGATGGGGAGGAATCCATTGTTAATAGTAACTATTAAACTTTTCTTTATTTTTTAAATTTTTAAATTTTATCTTCATAAAGCTATTCACAATAATTGATTACATTCAATATTTCAACTCTAGTTCCACCATCATTATTTGAATTTTCCCACTACCACCCGCCTGCCCCACAGGCAGATGTTAAATTTAATTTATTTTGTATTGCTTGTTGTGAATAGTATGAGATGTTGCATGGCCACGAAAGTGGCTGCATGCTTCTAGAATTCTAAAATTTTAAATATTTGGGATTCAGAGGCATCTCTGTGGTGACTTCCAGGAAACCAGAAGGGTGGGGATATGGGGGTGAGGTGCCCGTTCCTGACTTCATGAAGCCTGGGGTTTCAGTCACAGTTCCTGCATTCCTGGGTATTTTAGTGGATTCATTCTCATGCAAGCGGGGCTCGGGAAGAGCCTGTGAAGGTCAGCTGTGAGCGTGGCTGGGATTGGGTTCTGGAGGTTTGAGGCTGCTCGGGTTCCTCTGGGGCAGGCACATGGACACACCTGCCCCCCTCCTAGGTGCCCGGTGGAATCAGCCTGGTGAGGGGTGGGGAGATATCTATCTCTGCAGCATGCTGCTCTTTTCTAAGATTCATTTGTGAGTCCTGAAATTTTCTTTAAAGGTCTTCTTTTTAAAAATTTTTTTAGGTTTTTGGCCCAGAAACTACACAGAAGGAATTCTTCCGAGATTGTACTATGCAGCAAATAAAAGACCTCTTGAAAGGAGAAAGTCGGCTGATTTTTACTTATGGGCTAACAAATTCTGGAAAAACATATACTTTTCAGGGTAATTGTTTTATTTCTTAAGGAAAGAATAAAGAAGCACCAATACAGATTTTTATATACTTGTTTATAATTATATTTTCGCTACCTAGTATATTCCATTTTTAAGTATATTGAATATGTATTGCTGGTGACTTTTAATTCAGTTTGGGATTTTGGGGTTTTTTTTTGTTTTTTTTGTTTTGTTTTGTTTTTTTTTTTTGGTTCACATCCAGCAATGCTCAGGGGTTACTCCTGGATTTGCACTCAGGAATCACTCCTGGTGGTGCTCGGGGGACCATATGGGATGCTGGGAATCGAACCTGGGTCGGCTGCACGCAAGGCAAATGCCCTGCCCGCTGTACTGTTGCTCCAGCCCAGTTTGATTTTTTTAATTAGTACAACTACCTATATGAAAGAATTTGATGATGAGGAGAGTTGAAGAGAGATAAGGTGCTTGCTTATCTAGCATTTAGCTGACTCTGATTGTATCTCCACATCAATTCTTGAGCACCTGCAGGAATGATCTCTTAGAACAAAGTCAGGACTGGGCGTGCCCTGAAAAACAAACCAAAAAGAGACATAGATAATACTAAAAATAGGGAACTAAAGAAGTAGTAAAGCCAGTAAGACACACTTGATTTACAGTACTTGAAATTCAGCACTACATAAAATCCCTCTAAATACCACCAGGAGTAATCTCTGAGCACAGTGTCAGAAGAAAACCCTAAACATTTGTTGCACTGTCCTCCCGTTGTTTGTTGATTTGCTCCAGCGGGCACCAGTAACATCTCACAACAAATTGTGAGACTTGTTGGTACTGTTTTTGGCATATCGAATACGTCACAGGTAGCTTGCCAGGCTTTGCCATGTGGGCGAGATACCCTCGGTAGCTTGCTGAGCTCTCCGAGAGGGGAGGAGGAATCGAACCCGGGTCGGCAGTGTGCAAGGCAAACACCCTACCCACTGTGTTATACAGTGGGTAAACACTTCCAAACCAGAAAAAAATCAAAAAAAGAAACCAGTAAAAGGATTGATACAACATAGTGAATTAAGCAAAGAAGCAAAAACATTTTATATTTTATAATTATGAGTGGTTGCACTTTTTAAGTCTTGCTCAGAATGTAAAATTTCAGGTTTTGTATCAGAATAATAGTTTACAAAGTGTTGATTGTACAACAGAGACCAGAGTGAAAGAAAAATTAGTAATCCTTTAACTCCTTGCTTTTGCTGTAGGGATTTTTTTGTTTTGTTTTGTTTGGCTATTGGACTGGAGCGATAGCACAGCAGTAGGGCATTTGCCTTGTGCGCAGCCAGCCTGGCCAAGCCGGGTTCGATTCCTCTGCCCCCTTGGAGAGCTTGGCAAGTTACCAAGAGTATCTCGCCCACAGGGCAAAGCCCGGCAAGCTACCCGTGACGTATTCGATATGCCAACAGAGTAACAAGTCTAACAATGGAGACGTTACTGGGCCCGCTCGAGCAAATCGATGAACAATGGAAGGACAGTGCTACAGTGCCTATTGGTGACATAAAAGGACCCCTGATAGTGCAGAAATTCTTTTCCTTCACAGTACTCTCAGAGAAAATGACAAAAATTCTTTCCACAGGCACAGAAGAGAATGTTGGCATCCTGCCTCGGACTTTGAATGTACTATTTGACATTCTTCAGGGAAGACTATATACGAAGATGAACCTTAAACCACATAGATCCAGAGAATATTTACGATTGTCACCAGATCAAGAGAAAGAAGAAGTTACAAGCAAAAGTGCATTGCTTCGGCAAATTAAAGAGGTTTGGAGTTGTCTTAGTATATAATATACACATTATAGCCTTTTTAAAGTTCCATCATTTATTTTAGCCTATAGTGGAATGTATGATGGTAATTGGGCTATTGGGTGGGGGTGGGGGGCAGGTTTTGTTGTTTGGTTTGGTTTTTGGGCTATACCCACTCATGCGCAGGGTTTACTTCTGGTTCTGCATTCAGGAATTACTCCTGGTAGTGCTCAGAGGACCATATGGGATGCTGGGGATCAAACCCAGGTCAGCTATATATAAGGCAAACGCCCTACCCACTGTACTACGCTCTGGTGCCCTTAAAAGTACTTCTTAATTGTAGAAGTATTTTGTATATAAAAAAATATAGGGAATGTGTAAAATATAAAGTGAACATTTCTCTTCCTAAAGAACAAAGTTACCAGACTAGAAACTATTCATATTATACAGAAAGAACTTACAAAAAAGTTTTTGTATGTATTTTTGTGGGGGTTTTTTGTATTTTTTTTTTGTGTGTGTGGGGGAGGCCATACCCAGTGATGCTTAAGGGTTACGCCTGATTCTGCACTTTGGAGTTACTCCTGGAGGTGTTCCAAACATATAAGATGTTTGGAGTCAAACCCAAGTTGGCTGTACACAAGGCAAGCGCCCTCTCTGCTCTACTGCCTCTCCGGCCCCCATGTATATAGTTTTGTAAAAGTCTTTAACAGAATATTTTCTATAGGGCCAGGGCGATGGATAGTACAGTGGGTTGGACACTTGCCTTGGGATTGATAGAGATTTTCTTTTTTTGTTTGTGTTTTTGGGTGGGTTTTAGTTTTGTTTTGCTTTGTTTTCCGGCCCTTACCAACTGCAGTCAGGGCATACTCCTGGGATCACTCAGAACCATATGGGGTGCCAATAATTGCAAGCAAGGCAGGCACCTTACCCAATGCACTATCCCTGGACCCCTTTTCTAGGGGGTGGGGATCATAGCCATTGTTACTCAGAGGCTATTCTGGGCTCTGCTCAGAAGTGTTACTCAGGGCACCACACATAGTATCAAGAATTCAAACCAGTAATTTAGTACTTTTTGCTGCAGCAGTATGGAAGGCTAAGTGCCTAGTCCTGTCCTATCTCTCCAGCCCCCCACCCCCCTTTTTTGAGAGGGGGAGGAGTAGGAGATGCTTTGGCCATATCTCCTGTACTGTCTCTCCAGCTTTCCCTTTATGAGGGGTTGGGAGTGACTTGGGCCACAGCCTGCGGTGCTCAAGGACTTTCCAAGGCTCTGTGTGCAAGAGTAACTCCTAGCAATACTCAGGAGACCCTATTTGGTGCCCAGAATGAGAACCAGTGTTGGCAGAACGCAAAGTACATTCTGTAACCCCTATATTGTTTCTCTGGCCTGAGAATGTATTTTTTTAATTGACTGGAAAATTTAGTAGATCAACTATCTTAACATGGTTTTAAAGTTTTTTTAATCTTTTATTTTCAGGCTGCTATGCATAATGACAGTTATGATGCTCTTCATGGTAAGGTGTCCTTTTTCACTAATCTTTAAAATGTGTATTGTCTGAAGAAATACATGAAAAGCTTTTAAATTTTAATCATTCCTGTTGATTTAATTTCTTTTGTGACAGTACAAATCTAGAAAATGATACTTAGTATGAAATGTCAATCTCTCTAAAGTTTTATTTAGAGCATAAATAGCCCTTTACTAGTTCAAATATCTTAAATTCACAAGACAATTTTTTTTCTTTGTCCTTTGACTTTGGTTTCAGTTTGGTTCATTAGAATATTTCCAAAAGGAAAAGAAAGATAAGCCAAACTTTAGTTGACAAACAGATATCTGTTTCATCTGAAATCTATGAGCTGCTGTTAAATGATTAAGAATACTTAGTTTTCAAGTCTAGGAGGCTTGTTCTATCCTGTTATCTTGTTTTTAATGAGTTGCTGAATTGTGATTATCCTTTTTAAAATTTTTTGTAGGGAGTTTGACGAACTCTTTGAATACTTCAGAGTTTGAAGAATTTATGAAAGATTGTGAACAGTCCTGCTTGAACATGGATGATAGCATAAAGTTTTCTATTTGGATTTCTTTCTTTGAGATTTACAATGAATGTATTTATGACTTGTTTGTTCCTGTATCTTCTAAGCTCCTAAAGAGAAAGATGCTACGCCTTTCTCAGGATGTAAAGGGCTACTCTTTTATAAAAGGTATAGTAATGAGTACTTTTTATTTTATTTATTGATTCAAAGTTCCTTTCTAGATTTTGTTAAAGCTATAAGAAATCAAACCAAGGAATAGATCGATAGTACAGCGGGTAAGGAATTTGCCTTGCATGCAGCTAACCTGAGTTTGATCCCTGACATCCCCATATGGTCCCCCAAGCACTGCCACTAGTTATTCCTGAGTGCAGCGCATGAGTAACCCCGATCATAATGATCCCCCTCAAAAAAAAAAAACAAACCAGAAATTGAAATTATTTTATTCTTTTAAAATTCAAGATGAAAAGATTGTGTTTAGGAAGTATGTTAATTAAACCTGAATACAAAGGGCTCTACCTGAGTGTTGCCATGGCGTTGCCAAATATCCCAAATATCCCTAATTGGATACACAAGGGGGAAAAGCTGTGAGTTTTCATATTATTCTGCCCTATAACAGTGTCCAAATTTACAACTATCGAAATGCTATTCTCCCAACCTGCTCCAGCCCCTGAACAGGCCATTTTAAATGCTTAGATGGGGGCCAAAATGATAGTATAGTAGGTTACCTTGCATGCAGCCCACCTGGGATCAATTCTAGGAGCCCCATGTGGTCCCAGCCCCACCGGGAGGACAGAGACCCACCTACTCCAACACAGAGCCTGCAGTAGGCCCTCAGCATCTCTGGTATGGCCCAAAAACAAAAAATAAAGTGACCTGTTTTCAGAGCAGTGGTTGAGTGCATGTTTTGATAGTGAGGCCCTGGGTTTGGCTCTTAGAGAGAGGGAGAGAAGGAGAGGTGATAGAAAATCTTACTCACAGCGTATCAATACTGTCGTGACTTAGTACCTGCATATCTATATAAATATGCACACTAATACATGCATGTATATTTATGCCTCAGATTTTATTTACTATAAAGTATAACCTTTGTAGTAATATAATAATTTTGATTTGGGGGCAATACTGGGCAGTGCTCAAGGACTGCTCCCAGCCTGTAGTGCTTGAAGGACCAGGTGGTGCTAGAGCTTAAGCCCTGTGCTCTTTGTCACATCAGCTGTCTCTCCAGCCCCACCTTTTTTTTAACTTAATTTTACATAATACTGATTATGACTGAGTAAATTTTGTTTTATGACTACTTAATTTGAATCTGCATTGTCTCACCACTATAGGCTTAAGCTATACTGTATTTTCCTTTTATGTTCTGGATTCTACTTCTAAGGAAAAGATTTTCTGTTTGTCAGACTATTTAAGAACTTTAACTTTGTCACCCATTGCTTCTTTTGCAAACTACAACACCCAATAAGAGCGAGAGAACAAAAGGAAATGCCCTGCCACAGAGGCAGGATGGGATGGAGGGGATGGGGGGTGGAAGGGCTACTGGGATCCGTGGTGGTGGAGAATGGGCACTGGTGGAGGGATGGGTATTTGATCATTGTTTAATTGAAAGAAACCCAAGCACAAAAATTTGTAAGTCTACAACTGTACCTCATGATGTCTCACTAAAAAATTTAAAAAAAAACTTTAACTTGATGTCTGTGACATTATGTCTTCCTTTTCTATACCTTCTAATAAAATTGTGTAAAGCTGAGTTGATTCTACCTCTAGGGCATATATTTATATGACTTTATGTTATATGACAAATGCTGTGTGTTTTTTTTTTTTTGATCTGTGCCTTCTTTATCAAGATCTACATTGGATTCAAGTGTGTGATTCCAAAGAAGCATACAAACTTTTAAAACTAGGAATAAAGAATCAGAGTGTTGCCTTTACTAAACTGAACAGTGCTTCAAGTAGAAGGTAAAGAATGCATCCTTTGGCGTAAACCCAAAGCACCTAGACTATTCTATGCTAATTTAAATAAAACTAATTAAGATCAAACTAAGTAGGAGGTTATCTGCTGTTAAGTTTTTTCACAGATGTGCAGAATACTGTAACATGAAGTGCACTCTAAAAATAAAACTTATCAGGAACATTTATTCTTGGATTTACTAATTTGTCTCTCAGGCGCTTTTCTTTATGTTAATATCTAAGCTTATTCCTTTCAGAGTTGCAAGTATTGGTGAATTTTTTTTTTTTTTTTGCATTACCCAGTTATCCCATGAACATAGCTTTTCTGCAACCTGGGTTTGCCCAGATCTTGAGGTTAAGGGAAGAGGTAAGGAGTTAGAATGTGAGACAAAGTTAAAACAAGTTTCAGCAATGAGATACTTCAAACAGATTTCTCTTAAGATGTAAATAATCCTGTCCTTCTTTTCTCAGTCTATCATGAGAATATATAATCCAGACAAGCATATATATAGGTCAAATGGTATAATTCTAAGAGAACTGTGTATAATAAATACCATTTAAACTAAGAGTATGATCTTTTGCAAGCAAATTGAGATTTTATTGTTACTCAGTTTAAGGCATGTGGTCTAAGTGAAATGAAAGATTTCATTTTATACATGTGGATGTATAGGTGACACCCAAGTACTGAATTGAGCTCTCTGGCAGCTAGTTAGAAAATATACTACTGGAACCATTGCTCGTATCAGGACATAAATAGATTTCTTATTTAGTTAATTGCCTCCTAGAATATTTTAATGCCAAAATTACGAATAAAAGATAACATTTGATCTTTCTTTTAGTCACAGCATATTTACTATACGAATATTGCAGATCAAAGATTCTGAGATGCCTCGTGTAACACGAGTCAGTGAGTAAGTTGGGCATACTTTAAATTCTTGTTATTTTGAATTGTTCTGTTTGAAAAGCCTTTAAAGTTATTTTTGTTATTTTTTTCTTTCTTTTTGGTTCACTCAGACTGTCATTGTGTGATCTTGCTGGTTCAGAAAGAAGCATGAAGACACAAAATGAAGGTGAAAGGTTAAGAGAAACTGGGAACATCAACACTTCTTTATTGACTCTGGGAAAGTGTATTAATGTTTTGAAAAATAGTGAAAAGTCAAAGTAAGTGTTATAAGTGTTACTAGCATATTTAGTATTAAAATACTTAAGCTTTTAAGAAATTCTTTTTCCTTTGTGGAGGGCTCACATGGGGGGGTCACACCTGGTAGTGCTGGAGACTACTTCCAGCATTGCCAGCTTCAAGCAGTATTCGGAACCAAGTAGTAGATGGAAACTGGGGCCCGGACATGCAGAACATGCATTATCCCTTTGAGCTATCTCCCCGATCCAGAAAGTTCTTTTTCTTAACCTGTTTTTTTTTTTTATGTAATGACAGTGGCTTATGATTGCTTTTTTTTTCTTTTTTAATAATGATAGAAATAAAACACAAGAGCCAGAGAGATGTACAGCTAGTTGGGCACTTGCCTTTCACGCAGTCAACCTGGTTGATCCTCCGCATCACGTATCCCCTAGCACCGATAGGGGTGATTCCTGAGCATAGAGCCAGGAGTAACCTGAGAATCAATGGGTATGGCCCAAAATCAAAAAAAAAAAAGGAGAAGAAGAAAGAAAACACAGTCTCAATGTTAGTGATTTGCCAAGTAAATAAAGGTTTTCATAGAAAATACATGTCAGTAGCTAATAAGCTTTTCATGATGCTGGTTTGTTCATTATAATTATGCTCTAGATGTGACTGATTTCTGCCTAAGCATTTTAGGTTGAGTAAATTATGAATTAGACTTCATCACTAGTAGTTACGGTTTTTGGTTTTCGAACTACACTCAGCTGTGCTTGAGGATTACACCAGTCTTGTGCTCAGGGAACCATATAGTGCAAGTGATTTAATCTGTTCTGCCCACAAGGCATGAGCTCTGGGCCTCTGAGCCACCTCTCCGGCCTGTTTCTAAGTGTTTAATGATATGTATTATATATATATAAAATTGCTCTACACTGCTGAACACAACCCAGTTTGGTATTTTTTTTTTAACATTTTGCCTAGTGGGTTAATTGTGGTGGTAGTTTTTTTAAAATATAAGTAAGCAAAAAATTATTATTACATGAGTAACTAATTTCTAGTCTAGAATTTAAATCTATAATAGATTAATTACTTCCCTGTAAAATTTATTAGAATCTTGACTTCGCTAGAGTTGGTTTTGTTTTGTGTGTGTGTGTGTGTGTGTGTGTGTGACCCCTGGTAATGCACAGGGGTTACTCCTGACTCTACAGTTATACTCCTGGTGGTGCTTTGGGGACCATATGGAATGCCGGGGGTTGAACCCAGGTCGGCTGCATGCAAGGCAAACGCCCTACCTGCTGTACCATCACTCCGGCCCCTCACTTGATTTGTTTTAACTTAAAGTTCTTGTGAAACTTTTTTTCATAGGTTTCAACACGTGCCTTTTAGGGAAAGTAAACTGACTCACTATTTTCAAAGCTTTTTTAATGGTAAAGGGAAAATATCTATGATTGTCAACATCAGCCAGTGCTGTTTTGCCTATGATGAAACACTTAATGTGTTGAAGTTCTCAGCCATTGCACAAAAGGTAAATATATTCAAGTTTTCATAGAACTTAATAGAATATCATTGTTTTTCTTTGTGTAGGTAAAAAAAAGAAATTGTTCTTTTAATTGTAAACCTAGGAAATTATTGAAATTTTTTTGTTGTTGTTTGTTTTGCTTTTTGGGTCACACCCAGCAGTGCTCAGGGGTCATTCCTGGCTCTGCACTCAGGAATTACTCCTGGCGGTGCTTGGGGGACCATATGGGATGCTGGGAATCGAACCCGGGACAGCTGCATGCAAGGCAAACGCAATACCCGTAGTGCTATTGCTCCAGCCCCTATTGAAACTTTTAAATGTCAATAACCATTTAAATGGGAAAGATTGAAAGTTACCCCTTCTAAGCTTAAAATGACTTCAGTAATAAATATTCATAATATCCCTTATATATGATGGATATTCCTTTTTTTTTTTTTTTTGCTTTTTGGGTCACACCTGGCGATGCACAGGGGTTACTCCTGTCTCTGCACTCAGGAGTTACTCCTGGCAGTGCTCAGGGGACCATTGATGGATATTCTTACACTAATTTTCAACTTAGCCATCTCTCTGGTTCATTTAGTAATAAATTAGGAGGTCTTGTTAGGATGAGAACTTAACTGAAGAAAGTACATGTTTCTGAGCATAACTTTGCATGTGTAGTTCACTTTTTTTTTAGTTGCCCTTCTCAAGGGTTGATCCTTATGTGTTCTGTGGGTTTTTTTTTTAAGGCAATCAACTTGTCATTTTACTTAAAATTTTTAATTATTAGTGGACAGTTCTTTCCATTTATTAAAAATCACCTTTGAATTTTTGACAGGTTTGTGTTCCAGAGTCTTTAAATTCCTCTCAAGAGAAATCTTTTGGATCTATCAGATCTTCTCAAGATGTATCACTTGACATTAATAATTCAGAAAATAAAGTATTAAATGTAAAAAGATCCACTATTGCATGGGAAAGTAACCTAGAAGATTTGATGGAAGATGAAGATTTGGTTGAAGATCTAGAAAAAAATGAAGAAAAGCCAAGTATGGAAACTGAACTAACTGATGACGATCTAGATAAAACAGTAGAGGAAGACACGGCTTTCAACAGTCATGAGAAGAGAGTATGTATTAAGAACTTACACTTCTGAACTTGGTTTATTGTTCACTAATTAGGGGCAGTGATTCTTTTTGGGTTTGGGTTTGGTTTTTGGGTCATACCTGGCTGTGCTTAGGGCTGACTCCTGGCTCTGTACTTGGGGCTCACTCTTGGCTATGCTCAGAAAACCAAATGTGGTGCTGGGGATTGATGCCAGGTCTGCCAAGTGCAGAACAAGCACCTTACCCATCCATTGTTCTACCGCTCCAGCACCTTAACAATTTTTTTAAATTTTTGTGCCATACCTGGTGATGCTCAAGGTGACTCCAGGCTCTGCACGTGGGAATTACTCCTGGGTGCTCAGGGGACCATCTGGGATGCTGGGGATCAAACCCAGGTCAGCTGCATGCAAGGCAAACACCCTACCCGTTGTACTATCGCTTCAGCCCCTTAACGATTCTTTTTGGGGAGGAGGGGCGGGGGGGTCACACCCGGCGATGCACAGGGGTTACTCCTGGCTCTGCATTCATGAATTACGGCTGTCGGTGCTCTGGGGACTATATGGGATGCTGAGAATTGAACCCGGGTTGGCCGTGTGCAAGGCAGACGCTCTACGCGCTGTGCTATCTCTCCAGCCCCCTTTAACAATTCTTATGAAATCTTCTCTACCATTTATTTTTCAATAAAAAACCGTTTTATCTTTTAGCTGTGAATTATGTTTTTGTTTTTGAGCCAAATCAGCAGTGCAGTGCTAAGGACCCACTCTCAGGAATCACGCCTGACAGGGTTGGGAGGCCAGATGAAGTGCCAGGGATTGAACCCAGATTTGCCAGGTGCAAGGCAAACATCCTACCCACGGTGCTATCTGGCCCCAACCTTGCTTGCTTTTTTTTTTTTTTTTTTTTTTTGCTTTTTGGGTCACATCTAGCACACCTTATGCACTCAGGAATTACTCCTGGTGGTGCTAGGGGGACCATATGGGATGCTGGGAATCGAACCCTGGTCAGCTGCACGCATGCAAGGCAAATGCCCTACCCACTGTACTATCACTCAGGCCCCCAACCTTGAAATTTTTAAGCCTGCTAAAAGATTAATGCAGTCGATGCATATTTACACTTTACCTGGATTTGCTTGTTGTTAGTATTTTACCATATTCACTTATTTCTCTCTGGGTATGTGAATGCACCCTGCTTTGGGTTTTGTTGTTGTTTTTGATTGTGGGGGCCTTCCAAGCTATGATCCACAGGATCCTCCAGGGATGCCTGGGCTGGCCACATGCAAGGCAATAGCTCAAACCACTGTTCTATCACTCTGGCCCCTGGAGTTCTTAGTTAACTGCTCTGTATATCACTGGATTTTAGATTTTGACAGAAATCAACCTTAAGCATTTTCCATAATATGGTCCTTTCCCCATCTATGAAATGTAAATACTCATAGAAGATTCTGTGAATTAAATGCAAACTTTCCAATTTAGTTTCTTGTGAATAGTAAATGCCCAGAATTTCCTTCTTTTTTTTTTTTAAGAGTAGCTAGGTTGGGGCCGGAGTGATAGCACAGCAGGTAGGGCGTTTGCCTTGCATGCAGCCTGACCCGGGTTCGATTCCCAGCATCCCATATGGTCCCCTGATCACCGCCAGGAGTAATTCCTGAGTACATGAACCAGGAGTAACCCCCTGTGCATCGCTGGGTGTGACCCAAAAAGCAAAAAAAAGAAAGAGTATCTAGGTAGCAGGATATTTGAGTTATTTTATGTCTCTTTACAAAGTGTAGAAAAGTATACTTGAATCTCTGTAAATATATTATTCTCGGTGAAAACACATTTGCTATCAAAAAGAAACATAACTGGGCCAGAGCAATAGTACAGCAGATAGGGCATTTGCCTTGCATGTGGCCAACCTTGGCTCGATCCCTGGCATCCCATATGGTCCCCTGAGCACCAGCAAGAGTAATTCCTGAGTGCAAAGCTAGGAGTAACTTCTGAACATCACTGGGTATGGCCAAGGGGAAAAGTAAGATAAATAATTATCAGCTAAATAGAAAAGGTTCTATATTTTAACATTTGGACTGTATTTCTCTTGAGATATTTTTGTTTTTATTACATTTAATGTTTATATGTTTTAGAAACTGTTGGATTTAATAGAAGACCTGAAAGAAAAACTGATAAAAGAAAGAAAAGAAAAATTAACATTGGAACTGAAAATTCGTGACGAAGTTACAGAGGAGTTTTCTCAATATTTGGCTCAACGGGAAGCTGATTTTAAGTATGTTAGTTCTTTCATGACCTGATAAAAACTCAGAATTGGATTTGCTTATTTAAATTGCTTTTAACTTCATAATTAATGACTTCCCAATTCTGACCTCTTAACTGATACAGATTTGAAAATAATTTGCTAACTTAATCTGCTTTTTAATTTCTGATGTATTTTACCATAGAAATTTGAAATAAAGTTTTCTCTTAATGGGATTAATTTGTGTCATGAAGGGAGACTCTCCTTCAGGAACGAGAGAGATTAGAAGAAAATGCTGATTGTCGTTTGGCGATCTTTAAGGATTTGGTTGGTAAATCGGACGCTCAAGAAGCACCAGTGAGTGAAGATCATGCCATGAAAGTTGAAACCAAAGTATGTTAATTAAGACATTTAAAATATCCAGTGAGACTTTTATATTAGGGTTTATTATGCCATATTCATTGATGAGAAACATTAATTTAAAATGTTAAAAAGCGCAGGGAGGCAGAAAGTACCACAGGTTTGCTCTCTGGTACCCTATAAGGTCTCCAGGGCCTGCCAGGGGATCCCTGAGCACAGAGCTAGGAGGAAGCCCTGAGCACAGCCAGGTGTGGCCCAAAAACAAACTAAAAAAGTACAATTATTACAGGTAATTAAGCATGCTTTGCTAAAAATGTAGCATAAATAGTTTTTAATTGTTGGACTTGGAAAATATTTTATACTTGTAACATCTCATTTACATCTGATTACATCTCATTACGTCACTTGTCTTTTATTATAGATTTTTGTGTATATCTGACAATATTTTATCAAATTTGTCTTAAAGATTCTTAAAGGTGTTCAGAACCCAAGGGATCAGTTAATTACTACTATAATTAAAACAAAAATCTTGGGCTAGGGAGGTGGCTCAGTAGGAGAGCACAGGCCTCACTTTGTGTGAGGCCCTAGGTTTATCTCCAGCAATAGGAAATTTCTTTTTATTAATAAAAAAGATAAATCTTAATGACCCAGTAACCATTCCCCTCTATTGACAAGCTATTATCCTTTCACCTGAAGCTGAAACTGACAGTGCCTTTTTGTCGTTTTGTTCTGCTGTTGTAATTATTGAGCGGAATGGCCTGGTATGGTGGTATCCTGGCTACTAGACCATCATTAGGTGTTCCTAACTCAGTTTGGTTCTTGTCTGAGTTGTGCAAATGGAGATTTGTTCCCTTGGTTGTCCCAATCAGCAGAGGCTCCCACATGCAATCAGCCTACTGCCCGCTTTTCAGGAAAAAAAAATTACTCAACGATCCCCTGGAAATAGAACTTTTCTAAGAGAATAAATTGATCCCAGGTTATACCCTCCTGGAATCTTCTGTCATTTTCCAGGGAGCTGTATTTTCCACTGTGGAAAACGCTGCAATAAAGCCTCTTAGTATTTATAACACAATATGCCTGAAAGATAATCCTAATTGTCTGTAATTTATCAAAGTTTTTAATTGTTTTTATGGGGAAATGTCTCATGAAACAGAAAATAAGTGTTTACTTCAGCAACACCTATACTAAAATTGGGATGATACAAAGATCAGCAGATCCGGGGCTGGAGTGATAGCACAGCGGGTAGGGCGTTTGCCCTGCATGCGGCCAACCCGGATTCGATTCCCAGAATCCCATATGGTCCCCTGAGCACCACCAGGACTAGTTTCTGAGTGCAGAGCCAGGAGTAACCCCTGTGCAATGCCGGATGTGACCCAAAAAGAAAAAAAAAAAAAAAGGTCCCTGGGCAAGGATGTATGGATATTCATAATGCATTCCATGTTTTTAAAAAGAAAATGAGTAATGGCATAACTTTTTATAATTGCAGATTCTTATATGTACTTTATATTTTAAAATTTCAAGTTAAGAATTTGTTTGCTGGGGCTGGAGCGATAGCACAACAGGGAGGGCGTTTGCCTTGCACGCGGCCGACCCGGGTTCGATTCCCAGCATCCCATATGGTCCCCTGAGCACCGCCAGGAGTAATTCCAGAGTAACCCCTGTGCATCGCTGGGTGTGACCCAAAAAGCAAAAAAAAAAATTTGTTTGCTGTGTTTTTGAATTGTCTAAGTCAGATGGTGCCGTGCTGTAAGAAGTGAAAGCCACTGTTAACAATAGGCATGTGGTTTTTGGTATTTTTAGGAAGCACGTAATTATGTAGGAATTGAAGATGTTATTGACTCTCTTCAAGATGATGTCACTGATATTAAGAAACAGGCTGAAATTGCTCACTTATATATTGCATCTCTTGCTGACCCCCAGGAGTCTATTGCTTCTTTAGAACTAAAGTTTAATCAAGTTAAAGCTGAATTAGTTAAAACCAAAGAGGAATTAATTAAAAGCCAAGAAGAGTTAAAAAAGAGAGAAAAGGGTAAGTACATGTATTTTAACCATATTGTATAATCATGTTATAGATGCATAAGAAGACAGTAGGTGAGTATAAGAGTTTTGTGGAGTTTTCTGGGGCCAGGTAAAAGGAACAGGTAAGGCAATTGCCTTGAATGCAGACGACCCAGGTTTAATCTCCAGCATCCCATATGGTCCCCCGAGCACCACCAGGAATAATTTCTGAGCATCACTAGGTGTGGCCCTTCCCAAAAAAGAAAAAGAGGGGGGTAAAAAAAACTTATGGGACTTTCTGGTCATAGCAACTAGAAAATTGTTTGGTGAATTACCGTTAAAATTGTGACCGTTTGTCTTTTATAGTAACCTATTATAAAAAGTATTTTTGGGTCTGGAGAGATAGCACAGCGGGTAGGGCGTTTGCCTTGCATGCGGCCAACCCAGGTTCGATTCCCAGCATCCCATATGGTCCCCTGAGCACGGCCAGGAGTGACTCCTGAATGCAGAGCCAGAAGTAACCCCTGTTCATCGCCAGGTGTGACCCAAAAAGAAAAAAAAAAGTATTTTTGCTTTCACTTGCCTTTAAACTAGTATTAATAGAAAATGAGCTTCATGGGGTTAGAAAAAGAACCCAGTGGGGCTGGAGCGATAGCACAGCGGGTAGGGTGTTTGCCTTGCATGCGGCCGACTCGGGTTTAATCCCCAGCGTCCCATATGGTCCCCCAAGCACACGGCCAGGAGTAATCCCTGAGTGCATGAACCAAGAGTAACCCCTGTGCATCATCAGGTGTGACCAAAAATAACCCAAAAAGAAAAAAAAGAAAAAGATCCCAGTGCCTGATGTATCTTTGCATGCAGACCAGATTCAGCTGCTGGCACTGTGAAGTACCCTGAGCACAGAGCCAGGGAGTATTGAATTCTGCCAGATATGACCCAAAATTCAAAAAGAAAAAGAAGAAGGAAATAGTTTTCTTTATAAAATTGTCACCTTTGTCAGTAGGCTAAGAAATCTCATAGGAGGAGCCAGAGTGATAGTACAGTGGGAGGTAGGGCATTTGCCTTGCATGTAGGTGACTAGGGTTCAATCCCTGGCATTCCATATGGTCCCTCGAGCATTGCCAGGAATAATTGCTGTGTGCAGATCCAGGAGTAACCCCTGAGCATCACCAGGTGTGATCCCAAAACTAAAATAAATTTTTAAAAAGAAGAAATTTCGTAGGAAATTGTAAAGCTGTAAATTTTGTTCACCAAATGAATTCATTGTAACATATTCTGCTCAGGGCCTACAAGTTTGAGGTAGAGTGATTCCAATGAAGTGATCTGTTTATGTTTGTTAGATAAGAATTTAATGATGGTGCTGAAAGTAGACTATAGACCAAACATGATTGCCATTCAGTGCCTCTTTTGCAAACCACAACACCTAAAAGGAGAGAGAGAACAAAAGGGAATGCCCTCCCACAGAGGTGGAGGAGATGGGGGGTGGGAGGGATACTGGGACCCATGGTGGTGGAAAATGGGCACTGGTGGAGGGATGGGTACTGGATCATTGTATAACTGAAACCCAAGCACAAAAATTTGTAAGTCTACAACTGTACCTCATGGTGTTTCACTAATAAAAATTTTTTAAAAAATAAACTCACCTTAAGTTGAACCAAAAAAAAAAAGAATTTAATGATGGAACTGGAGCAATAGTACAGTGGATAGGACCTTTGCCTTGCACTTAGCCAAACAGGCTTCAGTCCCCAGCATCCCATATAGTCCCCAGAGCCCACCAGTAGGGATGCCTGAGTACTGTTACATGTGTCCCAAAAGAGAATCTGATTAAATATGCTGCTTTTCTGTGTGAATCAAGATGGATGGAAAATAGGAAACCTCTGTGTTTTGGGAAGTGGCTGTGTCAGAAATAACTGCCCTCTGGTGATGAAATTACTTGCTGAGTGATTATAATAGTAGTTCAAGTGTTTATAATAATATTATAATATAATAATATTATAATATAATAATGTTTCGTCTGTGATATACTTTATTTTTTAATGAATGCTTAGATATTTATTTTCAATGTTCTTTTCCAGAATCAGAAATTAACTTACATTCATTGACTCAAGATGTTGAAAAATCTAATAAGGTAATACTTTAAGCTTCATTTGGTCTTAACAGGGAACTTAAAATAAGTAATTGAAGAAGCATATATTATGATTATATACTTATTTTTAAATAATTAAGGAGAAGTTATTGAATAAATGGTCACGGTCCTCCCGTTGTTCATCGATTTGCTCGAGTGAGCCCAGTAACGTCTCCATCATGAGACTTGTTGTTACTGTGTTTGGCATATCAAATACGTCACAGGTAGCTTGCCAGGCTCTGCTGATTGAATAAACATGACTTAAAAAATTTTTTTAATGAAACTGGGCTTGAGGGAATCTAGAATATGTTTCAGTAGGTTAAGGAACTTGCTTGGCAAGTATGAGGTTGTGAGTTCAAATCCTAGAGCTGCTGCATGTAGTGAGATAATCAGGATAGTCTGTGATTCCTAGTAAGAAGGACCCAGCGTATGACTCAGTAAAGCATGTAAATGGCAAGCACAAGGTCACAAGGCCACAAGTCCAAACCCCAGTGGCTCACAGAGGCGCTGAAGTAATTCTGACAGTTCTACGCTTAGGAGTCTCTAGCAAGAAAGGACCAAGGAGAGGGGCCAGAGAGACAGAACAGCACGCTGGCTTGTATGTAGCCAACCTGGGTTTGATCCCAGCAACCCATATGGTTCTCTGCACCAGGAATAATTTCTGAGTGCAGAGCCAGGACTCATACCAAAACCAAAATGTTAAGTCTGAAAATAAAGTATTTTTCCTGGGGCTGGAGCAATAGCACAGCAGGTAGGGCATTTGCATATGGCTGACCCAGGTTCGATTCCCAGCATCCCACATAGTTCCCTGAGCACTTCCAGGAGTAATTCCTGAGTGCAGAGCCAGGAGTAACCCCTGTTCATTGGCAGGTGTGACCCAAAAAGCTAAAATATATATGTGTGTGTGTGTGTGTGTGTATATATATATATATATATATATCCTTGAATTTGTCCTTCTGAAGAGCTCGATTTTTTTTTCATTTTTATAATTTTATTTATTGAATCACCGTGAGAGCAGTTACAAAGCTTTCGGGTCTAAGTCTCGGTCATACAGTGAAACACCCGTACCTTCACCAATGCCCGTTCTCCACCCCCAACAACCCCAGTATACCCCCGTCTCACACCCTCCCCCTACCTGTGGGGCAGATGATTTCTACATTACTCTATCTCTACTTTGATCACATTCAATATTTCAACACCAGACCCTCTATTATTATTTGAGATTTTACCCCAACACTCAGATCTGCTGAAAAAGCAACAGTAAACAATTTGTGTTCTATTGCTGGTTATGAGTAACATATGATGTCGTGTGGCTGCAGTTGGGCCATGTGATTTTGAAATTCTGAAATTTTAACACTTTAATCTGGAGAGATTTCTGCCAAAAGCCACTGGGTTTCGAGATTTGCTCCTGAGTCTCTGGGATCATGGCCGTTGAGCAGCTTGATGAGGAGCCAAAGAGGCCGTTCGTGGGCCCAGTCCTGACTGTCCAATGGCCTCTGGAGGATGACGGCCACCGAGCCAAGGGGGAGCAGGGCGGAGGGACAACACCCTTTCCCCCCTGGGGTGGCCTGGCGACAGTAACCTACTGCGGGGTCCAGACGCATTTCTGCCAAAAGCCACTGGGTTTTGAGATTTGTTTCTGAGTCTCTGGGATCATGGCCATTAAGCAGCTTGATCAGGAGCCAGAGAGGCCATTTGTGGGCGATGACTTGGGGTGGGGAGGACAGGACCGGCTCCACCCCCATACCATGAGGCCCTGCGTGTCTCATCACTGAGGGCCCAAACCTGACTGTCCAGTGGCCTCTGAAGGATGGCGGGCCACTGGGCTGCTGTGGGGAACAGGCCAAGGCATGAAACCTATTTCCACCTGGGTTGGCCCAGCACCGGTAACCTACTGCAGGGACCGGACGCATTTCTGCCAAAAGCCGCTGGGTTCCGAGATTCGTTTCTGAGTCTCTGGGATCATGGCCATTAAGCAGTTCAATCAGGAACCAAAGAGGCCTTGCCTCCAGTTATATAGCTGAGCCGGAGGTGGTTTGTGGGTGTGTTTCCACATACCTAACTTTTAGCCGTTTACTTTCTTGGTAAACTTTGCCCCAAGTTTTTGGGGTCTGGCTAAAGGCACAGTAGCAATTTTGGGGTATCTGGAAGTCTGAAGGCCCCATCAGGCTGCTGATACACTCGCCTCACAGGTACAGATTGACCTGCTGGCGGCACCATACCCCTGAGCTCGATATTTTTTAACATTATTCTTTTTAAACTTAGTAATGAAGGCAAACCAACTTGTCCTAAAATTCACTAACTACATAGCTTCTTGCTCATACCCCAAACCAATTCATTTTTACATTTTCTAACATGATCAGTTGACTTAGAAACTTATTTTGAAATAACTGGGGGACCTAAAACATGCACCCCTGACTCAACATTCATAATATACTTTGTGAGATTGGGAGTGTGATATAGGATCAGTAGGTCAACTCAAAAGTCAAGATGGGCAAGAACAAGCGAGAGCACACCCGTGCATTGCCAGGTGTGACTCAAAATGGGGAGAAAAAAAAAGAATGTAATTCATTCACAAAGAGGATCACGATCACGACCACCCTGTTGTTCGTCGATTGCCTCGAGCAGGTGCCAGTAACGTCTTCTTCGTCCTAGCCCTGAGATTTTTTTTTTTTAAGTGCCATATTCAAGGCTTTTTCAGGGTTAGGAGAATGAGACCCATCATTGTTACTGGTATTTGGCATATTGGGTATACCACGGGGAGTTTGCCAGACTCTGCCGTGTGGGCATGTTACATTTGGTAGCCTGCCAGTTTGACCAAATTAGGAATGAGATGATAAGATGTCGCGCGGCCGCGAATGCTGAGTGTGATGATCTCTGGATCCTGGCCGTTGTTGGAGTTACACGGCAGTTGGTGGGTGTAACTGTCTAGTTACTGGCAGGTCCAGTCCCAAACTGTGCAGGCTTGGAGATCTCAGCCCCGGGTCCCACACACCTGGGTTCCTCTGTCAGTTCTTTTATGCGTGAGGCTCATCCAAGTGTGTGGAGAGTGCTCCCAGCATGGCCTTGGCTGGGCCTCGATGGTCTTCAGCTGTTGGGCCCTGGTGGAGACAGTCAGGCATAGGGTAGGAGACTCTGACTCACAAAGAGGATGGTTATGTAAAAACTGTACTAGTTAGCCTTGAATAATTTAGCTATGTAGATTAAGTAAACTTAGATTTTTTTTTTTTTGATTTTTGGGTAACACCTGGCAATGCACAGGGATTACTCCTGGCGGGACCATATGGGATGCTGGGAATCGAACCCAGGTCAGCAGCATGCAAGGCATATGCCCTGCCCGCTGTGCTATCACTCCAGCCCCTGGATCATAAATTTTTCACTCCTTAATTTCACAATCACTGTGACTATATTTCTCAATTCTTATTAGAGGCCTAGAGATTATATAATAGATAAAAAAGTATAATCTTACTAAAAAAGTAAGAAACTTTACTTAAAATTTAAATATATAATCTTCACTTTTTGTTTTGTTTTTTTTTTTGGGGGGGGGGTCACACTCAGCGATGCACAGGGATTACTCCTGGCTCTGTACTCAGGAGTTACTCCTGGCAGTGCTGGGGGACCATATGGGATGCTGGGAATCGAACCCAAGTCAGCCGCGTGCAAGGCAAACGCCCTACCCGCCCCGCTGTGCTCCCCCTCCAGCCCCTACTTTTATTTTTAATGAAAATTAATGAAAGAAATTTTAAAAAGCTTATTTAGTAAAAATGAAAAATAGGTTTTAAATAAATATAAATTATTTATTACAACGTACTAAAATTGGTCTTTCACCACTTCTTGATTGTCAATCTCCTGGGGTTGTAATAGTTCAGTCATCATTTTCTTTATCTGCTACGAAAAAGTCTTGGTGGCTGGAGAGGTAGTACAGCAGGTAGAGCGCTCGCCTTGCATTTTGCTGACCTGGGTTCCAGCCCTAGTTCCCCATATAGTCCCCCAAGCTCTGCCAGGACTAAGCCCTAAGCACTGCCAGATGTGGCCCAAAAACCAAAAAAATTAAGTCTTTGAACAAGGTATCTGACTCCTTTTTTTTGCTTGGATAGGATCGGTTGGTAGTTTTATAGGATGCATATTTTCTGTTCTTATATGGGAATGCAGAGTTAAATGAGTCTTAAGAAATAACTTAGGAAATGTTTTAAAGGCCAGAGAGATAGTATAATGGGGAAGGCATTTGCCTTGTATGTGGTCGGCCCAGGTTCAATCCCCAGCACCACACATAGTGCCATAAACCTGCCAGGAGTGATCCCTGAGCACAGAGCCAAGAGTAAGCTCCTGAGCACCCCTGGGTTGGCCTAAAATAACAGAACAAAACAAAAATTTTTAATATGCGTATTTTCTGCTTTCATATGGAAATACAGAGTTAAATGAGTCTTAAGAAATAATTTTAAGGGGGAGAGAGAGCACTGTGGATAGAACACTTGCTTTTTATGCAGCCAACCCAGGTTTGATCCCTGGCATCCCATATTGTCCCTCGTAGCTCATCAGGAATGATTCCTGAGTTCAAAGCCAGGAGTTATCCTTGACCACTACCCCCAGCACACACACAAAAAAGTTTTAATAATTTGGAAACTGAAATGTTTAATGAGACATATTGAAACATCTGTATAGTTTTATGGCTTTCTATATGTAGACTAATCTTTATTTTACTTTAGGACAAGGCTGATAGATCTTCTTTAATGATAAACGATAAATTGGCTTGTAATGAAAAAGTTGAAATGCTGGAGGACCATGAAACTAAAAGCTATTCAGGAAGAAAAAGATTAAATGAAAGTGAACTTCAAGAAGAGGAACCACCTGCAAAGAAAGGTATTGCTTTCAACTGATACCAGTAGTCTCTCTTTTTTTTTTTTTTTTTTTGCTTTTTTGGGTCACACCGAGCGATGCACAGGGGTTACTCCTGGCTCATGCACTCAGGAATTACTCCTGGCCATGCTCAGGGGACCATATGGGATGCTGGGAATCGAACCTGGGTTGGGCTGCATGTAAGGCAAACACCCTACCTGCTGTGCTATCACTCCAGCCCTCAGCACCACTAGTCTTTTAACGCAAGTTCCAAACTAATATATAAGTAGGAGGAAATTTACTGACTACATGCGGGGAAGCTAATCTAACCATCACCAAAAAAAAATTTTTTATCCTTTTGGGTTACATCCGGTAATGCACAGGGGTTACTCCTGGCTTTGCACTCAGGAATTACTCCTGGCAGTGCTTGGGGAACCATACGGGATGCTGGGAATTGAACCTGGGTCGGCCACGTACAAGGCAGACGCCCTACCCCCTGTACTGTTGCTCCAGCCCCACATCACAAACTTTTATGCTTATGTTGCTAATAGCTAGGGTTCCTTAAACTTTTTCAAGTCACCACAACCAATTTCTTCCAAGAAATTCTTGTATGACCCTAGATATATATATATGGCATTCAAGTCAAATACTTATTGATAATAAATTATAGATTTATAGTAAAACAAGTGTTTCACAATCCTCAATTCATAATCCTCAGTATATAGGATTATAAAATTATGGTTTTATAATCCTATATATGGTCTCAACTTATAGTTTGGATTGAGAGGATATTTAAAGCTGACTTTAATGAATTTGTTCTCAACAACTGGTCTTTCAACACTTTTGAACGCCACTTAATCTCCTGGGTTTATAATAGCTCAGTCATCAGTTTTGTAGTTATAATTCCTTTTTCTATCAAAATCTCAAGGTGCTCATTTTTAATAGCTTGTACCCATTGCTTGGGTGCCTGAGTGCTTTATGACCTATTTTTCCTTTTTTACTAAATAAGCTTTTTCCCTTTTTTCCAATTTCTCTTTCATATGGTTTAATATTGACTTATATGGTAATTTTGTAGTTTTATTAAGGTTTGTCAAATTTATTGGTTTTGGTTTGTTTGTTTTAAGGACCATTTTGTGGTATTCCAACTGTCACTGAAAACCCTAAGAAAAGTGAAGAAATGAAACAGACCATTTCAGAAGATGAGGAAAATGATAGAGTTTTACTCGCAAAGAATAAAAAGCTGGAAAGACATTTATTTATTGTTGAGAATGAACTTAAAAATGAAAAGGAAGGAAAAGCAGAACTAAAGGAACAAATTGTTATTTTGCAGAAGAATCTTTTTACTTCTGAAGAAAAGAGTTCTACTCTTACTGTAGAGATTCAACAAATTCAATCGAATTATGATAGTGCAATTTCTGAATTACATGTACAAAGAAATATAAATCAAGAACAGGAGAAGAAAATCAAGAAATTGTCGGAGGAGATTGAAACTGCTCGAAGAAACATCACAAATAATGTTTCGCAAATAAAATTAATGCAAGAAAAAATAGATGAACTCCGAACTCTTGATTCAGTTTCTCAGATCTCAAACATAGACTTATTCAATCTCAGGGATCTGTCCAGGGGTTCTCAAGAGGATAATGTGTCAAATACACAGTTAGACCTTGTAAATAAAGATTACTTGGTAAGTAAGCAAGTTAAGGAATATCATATTCAAGAGATCAATAGAGAAAATTCTTTCCACTCTAGTATTGAAGCCATTTGGGAAGAATGCAAGGAAATTGTAAAGGCTTCCTCCCAAAAAAGTCATCAGCTACAAGGACTAGAACAACAAATTAAAAACTTACAATCAGAATTAAGAGGCTCTATGGATGAAAACAACAAACTGATAATAGAGGAGAGGGAGACAAAAATTCTGTTAAAAGAACAAGAAAGTCATATACAGCAACTAAAAGATGAACTGCAAGAAAAAAACACCAGACTTGATGTTCAAGTACAGCTTGTAGCCGAAGAAAAGAGAGCCCTTTCGGAACTTACACAAGATATCACTAACTATCAGGTGAAAATAAAAGACCTTGAAGCCATCTTAGAAACTCAAAGAGATGAGTGTAGTCATTTAGCGAAGCTAGAACAAAAAATTTTGGAAAAGGAGTCTGTCATCTTACACCTAGAAAGAAACCTGAATGAATGTCAAGAAAATCTTCAGGAGTCTATCAGAACCACCAAAGAACTAAATGAAAGGGATATCCAATTGAATCAGGAAATCTCACATTTAACTAATGAGTTGCAAAATGCAAAGCATTCACTTAAATTAAAAGATAAAGAAGAAGAAACCAACAGACGAGAAATTGAAAAGTAAGCTAAATGTTACTAAACTAAGCAAAGCATTGATTTTATTGATTTTCCTGTGTAACTCTGAATGTAATTTAGGTAGACATAACGCACCCTGTTGGAATACCTATGTATGATATGTGAATTTACATAAACTTTAAAATTAAATTATATCCAAAGATCTGTTTATAGATCTACTTATAAAATCAAGTTTATAAAACCATACAGGACTTATTCATGGTTTGAACTTTCCAAATTTGTGGAAAGGTAGAATTCTATAGATTCTTGGGGCTGGAGCACAGCGGTTAGGGCATTTGCCTTGCATTTCATTGGTGCACCTTTTGGAATATGCTGTTCTGGACCTTAAAAAAAAGTCTCTGGGGGCTGGAGTGATAGCACAGTGGGTAGGGCATTTGCCTTGCACGCGGCTGACCCGGGTTCGATTCCCAGCATCCCATATGGTCCCCCAGCACCGCCAGGGATGATTCCTGAGTGCAGAAGTGCAGATCCAAGAGTAACTCCTGTGCATTGCTGGGTGCGACCCAAAAAGCAAAAAAAAAAAAAAATTCTGTAGATTGTTTCTCGCTCACATGTGTGATCCTAAGTGATTAGTGGTATATTATTACAGAAAAGTCTTGTATTTTAGGTTGAAAGAAGAACTCTCTACAAGCTCTGCTCTTACCCAGACTCTGAAAACAGATCTTCAGAGGAAAGAAGAAGATTATGCTGAACTGAAAGAGAAACTGGCTGACGCCAAAAAGCAAATTGAGCAAGTACAGAAAGAGGTGTGTAATTTGAAAGGTTATGTAGCTTTGGGGCTGTTTTCCTTAATATGTATATATAGTTTAGACATTTAGAGTTTGAAATTTGTCAACCCTAATTTTTTTTTACAAACGATAGTTCATGGGTAGTGCAGGAATGAAGCTGCTTGCCTTTCCTACAGCCAACCCCTGGTTCAATCCCCAGTCTCCTGAGCACTAATAAGAGTGACCCCTGAGTGCAGAGCCAGAAGTAGCCTCTGAGCACTGCCTGGTGTAGCCCCAAATCCCTACCCCCACAAAAAAGATAGCACTGTAGCACTGTCTTCCCAAGCTCAAGCAGGCACCAGTAATGTTTCCATTGTCAGACTTGTTGTTACTGGGTTTTTTGTTTTTTGGCATACCGAATACGTCACAGGTATCTTGCAAGGCTTTGCCGTGCGGGAGGGATACTCTCGGTAACTCAGAGGGGCAGAGGAATCGAACCCGGCTCGTCCCGAGTCGGCCATGTGCAAGACAAGCACCCTACCCGCTAATGCTATTGCTGCAGCCCACCCCAAACACATATAAAAATAAAAGTACTTGTTGCCAGGGCTGTAGAGAGAGTACAGTGGGAAGGGCATATGCTTTGTATGTGGCCAGTCTGGATTCGATCTCTGGCATCCCATAGGGCCTCCAGAGCCTGCCAGGATTGATTCCTCAGCACAGAGCCAGGAGTAAGCCCTGAGCAGGGTGTACCCCAAGAGGGGAAAAAACCTACCACAAAAGTTCTATTTGTTGCGTTTATTAATTTTTATAATGAATATTTTTGTTCATAATAAAAATATTTAATCTCTTATAAATCTTACTTTCTAGGTATCTGTAATGCGTGATGAAGAGAAATTAATGAGGGTTAAAATTAATGAACTGGAGAAAAAGAAAAACCAGTGTTCCCAGGAAATAGATATGAAACAGCGAACCATTCAGCAACTTACGGTAAATTTTGCTTTTAAGAATGGCTTGAAAAGATTCTGTTGGCTTGCTCTTCAAGCCCGTGGTCGCCCTGAAACACATCTCTGCCTCTTTGCTTCCTTGTTTCCCATCTGGGGAAGCTGTATTCTAAAAACACACCGCTTTTCCTCCCCTCACATCTTTCTAAATAAGTTTCAATAAAAACTGTCTCGTGGGCTGCAATAGTAGTACAGCATTAGGGCACTTAGCTTGAATGCGGCCAAACCTGGTTTGATCACTGGCATCCCATATGTGGTATCAGGGTGGTGTGGACTTCCCTTCCTGCATGCAAAGCATATGCTCAGCCCTGAGTTGTCTCCTATCCATAAAGTATAACGGGTTTCTTCCCATTACACTTCCCATTCTCCCTTTTTACCAAAGTGAAACTCCCATTGTTAAGTATTTCTGTGTGTTTTAAGTTATATTTTAATTTAATTCATGTTGCTTCATTTTTCAGGAGCAGTTAAATAACCAAAAAGCAGAAGAAGCTATTCAACAGTATGAGAAAGTATGCAGAGGTCAGAAACAAATCCCTGATTCCAATAATAAAATGCATTTATCCTGTCTCCTTCAAGCCCATATTCTCCCTTGAATATGTACACATCTTGCTTGCTTGTGTCAGTGCATCTTAAGTTTTTTTTTTCCCCCCACTCTGGAGAGGAAATATTTCTCCTTTGTTCTAAGTAAGTTTTGTTCAGTAAAAATCACCTTGCAGGGCCAGAGGGATATCACAGTGGAGGGTACATTTGCCTTGCACACAGCCAACCTGGGTTTGATCCCATATGGTCCCATTATCGATCCCCTGAGCATTGCCGGTGTGACCCAAAAAGCCAAAAAAATAAAAACTATCTTGCTTCACTAAAAATATATATTTATTCCCAAATTTTCTTTCTTTTTTTTTTTTAGTGAAACACTATGAGGTACAGTTGTAGATTTACAATTTTTTGTGTTTGGGTTTCGATTATACAATGATTAGATACCCATCCCTCCACCAGTGCCCATTTTCCACCACCATGGATAATATCCCCCCCACCCCCATCCCCCTATCCCCCCCTGCCTCTGTGGCAGGGCAATCCCCTGTGTTCTCTCTCTCCTTTTGGGTGTTGTGGTCTGCAAAAGAGGCATTGAGTGGCAAACATGTTCAGTCCATAGTCTACTTTCGACATGCTTCTCCCCTCCTGGGAAGATCCTCCAAACACCCTTTATTTGGTGCTCCCTTCTCTATCTGAGCTGCCCTTTCCTCTAGAATTCCCGGCTGGCCACTAAGCTATGGAGTAATCCTCCTGGTGCTGATCTCAGCTATTCTTGGGTATTAATCTCATATTTTGTTACTTTATATCCCCCAGATGAATGCAATCTTTCTATGTCTATCCCTCTCTTTCTGACTCATTTCGCTTAGCATGATACTTTCCATGTTGTACCACTTGTATGTAAATTTCATGACTTTATCTTTTCTAACAGCTACATAGTACTCCATTGTGTAGATGTACCAAAGTTTCTTTAACCAGTCATCTGTTCTTGGGCATTCAGGTTTCTTCCAGTTTCTGGCTATTGTAAAGAGTGCTGTACAAATTTTCTTCTTTTAAGGAGCCAGAGAGAGAGTATAGGGGTTAAGGCACTTGCATAGCATCTGGCCAATCCTGGTCCAATCCCCAGCACCACAGTGATCCCCTGAACACCCCCAGGTGAGCTCCTGTGCGCATAGCCAGCAATAGCCCTGGGCACCACTGGGCCATGGCCCCTACCCCTTCTTAAAAGGACACTGCCTGTTGGATTATGGTCCTCCCTAATCCGTTATAGTTTTGTTTTGTTTTTAAAGGAAAAAAAACAACTTGGGAGCCATTCCTGGCTGTGCTCAGGACTTACACCTGACTGTGCTCAGGAATCCCTCCTGGAGGGACTTCCAGGACTATATGAGGTACCGAGGATCAAATCAGAATTAGCCACATGCGAAGCAAGCACATTAACCCCTGTTCTGTCTTTTCTGTCCTGTACTGTCTTAAATATAACTGGTATACAGATAGGAAATAAGTGCAAACTATCACGAAATATTTCTAATCCATTGTTTTGCCTGACGCTTATGTGTCATTTTTGTCTCTAGTGTGTGATGTTCTTCTTTCCACTTCCCACTTATTCTCATATGTTCTCTCAAGAACATTCAATCTCTAAACCTTTCCTCCTTGAAAGTATTCCAGAACATTATTGTTCTAAGTGAGTCTCTTTCTGATGGTAAATAATTGATTGTCCATTTGACAGTCATTTGTTCTACTGTGATAACACATAGGGATAGCTATCTCTCTTTTTCACTTTTGTTTTTGTTTTTGTTTTTGGGCCACACCCTGGTGTGCTCCTGACTCACTCCTGGTGATACTAGAAGACTCTCTTCCATGCTGGAGATCAAATCCTTGTCAGCTTCTTACAAGGCAGAGCACTTTACCTTCTATACTATGTCTCCAGCGCAAGATATCTACCTCTTAAGTGTATTGAAGTTGTTTGATTTGTTGCATATTTCTGAATTGTTTTGTGATATGTTATTTGGAGGCAATAACATTATCTTTTTTTTTTTTCCCTTTACTGGCCCTGCATTTAAAATTATAGGTGGGGCTAGAGCTATAGCATAGCAGGCAGGGCATTTGTCATGCACCGCCCACTCGGGTTCGATTCCCAGCATCCCATATGGTCCCCTGAGCACCGCCAGGAGTAATTCCTGAGTGCAGATCCAGGAGTAACCCCTGAGCATTGCCGGGCGTGACCCAAAAAGCTAAATAAATAAATAAATAAAATTGTAGGTGATGGTCATTAGTTAGTATTGCCACCTTATTAATTTGAAGTGAAATATAAAGTCTGTGCTTCTAATTGAGTGTGAAATGTAAAGATAAAGAAAGGGTTCAGGGGCCAGAGTGGGGAGGGCATTTGTTTTGCATGCAGCTGACTCCGGTTCAATCCTCAGCATTCTATATGTTCCCCAAACTTCGCAAGTAGTGATTTCTGATCACAGAGTCAGGAGTAAATCCCAATTTTGGTGTGTGGCCCCAGTACCAAAAAATAATTTAAAAAATAGAGGAGTGTCTTTGAATAAATTTATGATTAGTAACATAGTATGAATCTGTTTGTAAATCATGCTTATGAAGGAAATGAATTACATAAAATTAAGACTTCTTTAATAATCCTTAAAGGAATTCTGTTTTATTAGCACTCTTGGCAGTCTGGTGTCAGTGGAATGAGGCACAGCAAATCATGTATACGATTTGTTGTAATTCTTTTGTTTTAACTTCTTTATGTGCCCTTAATTAAGGGAATCATATTTGAAGATTTGTGTCATTTTTAATGTCACTTTTTTTTCAGGGGGTAGGAGCTCAGCTACACTGGTGATGCTTAGGGATTCCTCCTGGCTTTACACTCAGGAATTATTCCTGATAGAGCTGAGGAAACTAAATGGGGTACCGGGTATTGAACCTGGGTCAACCTGGAAAGCACCCTATCCACTGTACTATTACTCTGGCACCCAGAAACAACTTTTTTTTTTTTTGACTGTTTGGGTCACAGTCAGTGATGCACAGGGGTTACTCCTGGCTCTGCACTTAAGGATTACTACAGGCGGTGCTCAGGGGACCATAGGGGATGCTGAGGATCAAACCCAGGTCAGCGCGTGCAGGCAAACACCCTACCCTCTAGTACGGCGGTAGTACAGATAGTACCCTACCTATACTATCACTCTTGTCCCCAGAAACAACTTTAATAAGACTTGTGGCACTGTCATTCTAGAAGAGCAGAAGTAGCAACTATCAAAGTAATAAGTATTCAGCAATGACAATTTTCAAGAAGAAATAATTACATGTCAGGGAAATGGCTAAAGGGGCTTGCCCCAGTTCAGTCTGACAACACATGGCTCCCCGTGCATAGAGCCAGAAATAGCACCACCAGGTCTGGCAAAAAATACCAAAAATTGAACAAATTTAAAGGAAAAATATTCCTGTGATTTTTTTTTTTTTTAAGATTGGGGCTAAAAGTGTTTTTAGGAAGAAAAAGTCTTAGTTTTTTAATGTTAGTATTAAAAATAATAGCTTTGTCAAAATAATCCTGTCAAAAGTAACAGTTTTTCTAAGTTTCATGATTTATGCTCAGTTTTTTTTTTGTTTAAAAATTTGTTTTCCTTTTTATTTTTGCCATCATTCTTGTATCCAACTGTACAGCTGGTATTTATTTGATCTATTGTTTTAGGCATTTGCCAGTATTGAGGATTCAGTAACGAACAACTCAAAGTTTCTACCTATATGGGATTCACATTTTTTTATAGTTAATCAAATTACATTTTAACTTTAGAACTCAAAAGGTCAATTATCTGGATAGTATGTATTAGTACTGTTTCGCAAAACTATTCTCCCCTAATTTTTAGACCTAAATGCTAAAGAGAAAATAATCGAAGATATGCGAATGACCCTGGAAGAACAAGAACAAACTCAAGTAGAGCAAGATCAGGCGCTGGAAGCTAAATTAGAGGAAGCTGAAAGACTGGCCACAGGTAAATCAAGATTGTCTGCATATTGCAAAGCATGCTCTAACATCCTCCTCTTTTTCCTCGATTTCTTTACTTCTTAAAGTAGCTGAGTATTTCGTAATGAAATGTATTTGCTGTATTTTGTCAATGTCCGTCCTGTATTCAGTATGATAAAAAATAATAATAATTGGGAGGGGGCGGGCCCAGTGGTGCTCAGGATTTCCTTCTGACTCTGCTCAGGGATCAGTCCTGGTGGGCTGAGTGGACCATATGGAGTTCTGGGGATTGAACCTAGGTCTGCCACATGCAAGGCAAGCACCCTACTGGCTGTAGTATCACTTTTGCCGCTAAAATAGTTTTATCTAAGTAAAATTGTATATTAAAAAAAAAGATGAGGACACAGACACAATAAGTGTCAAAAGCTCAGTAAGCTTCAAAATGAGTTACAGGTATGATATTTTTATCTGTATTTGACTATTAGAGGAAAATTCAGTCAATGTTTTATTATTAACTTAAATGTGGGTGATTTAAGAGCTAGAAATTGTTAGTATATAGTTACAAATATTTAATATATATTGAAATAATATGAAGAGAAAATTTTTAATTTATTTAGTTTTCACTGGCTTAAATATCACAGGGCCAACCAAACATGTCTCATTAGGGCTCTCTATACATCTTGGGTTTATTTCTCAGGGAGGTTTCCCCAAAGTGGGTTCCTCAATCAAGATTTGGACATTTTTTTTAAGTTTGGCTTTTTTAAAATTCAATTTAATTATGTATTTGCTTTTGGGGGGGGTCCCACCCGGCAATGCACAGGTGATTACTCTTGGCTCTGCACTCAGGAATTACTCCTGGCGGTGCTCAGGGGACCATTGGGATGCTGGGAATCGAACCTGGTTTGGCCGCATGCAAGGCAAACGCCCTGCCCGCTGTGCTATTGCTCCAGCCCCTGGAGTGGAAATTTTCAAGATACAATGTTAAGTTGCAGTGTCTCTGTCAATAAGAATTATTTTTCAACTAAGTTTCACCTCTGTCCCATTCTTTATATCATCTTAAATGTTTAGATCAATCAATAGTATGATCATATCACTCAATGCATCACTTTTTTTTTTTGAGAATTACAGGCTGTTTTTTATAATACTGGCATGTATATTGGGAGCTGGAGCAATATGTCTATAGTGCGTAGGGCTCTTGCCATGTACACAGCTGACCTGGGTTTGATCCCCAGCATCCCATATGGTACCCCAAGCCCCGCCAGCAGTGATCCCTGGACACAGTCAGAAATCATCCCTCAGCACTACCAAGTAGTGCCCAAAGACAAAGAAGTAATAATTTTTTTAAGATTGGCATATTTTAAAATATAATATACCTGAACACTATGTAGTGGGTACCTGAAAGTTCCTTGTAGTAGTTGTTCTTCCCTAAAAACTTAACATGTATCTCTGGGAGTTGTATCAGTTGTATCAGTTCTCCTTGGTCTCTTCTTCTGGGCTTTGGTGATTTCTTGTCTGTATCCCACGTGTATTTTAAAACAATTTTGTTTTTAAATCAGAATTGGAGAAATTGAAAGAAAGGTACAAAGATCTGGAAACCAAAAAAGATCAAAGATCAAATAAAGAACTTAAGGATAATGAAGATTCACTTAGTAAAAAGCTCCGTAAGCTTCAAGATGAGTTACAGGTATGAAATTTATCTGTATCTGACGATCGTATTTCCATTAGAGGAAAATTCAGTGTATGTTTTATTATTAACTTACATATGGGTGAGTTAAAAGCCAGAAATTGTTAGTAATAGATATTGAAATAATATGGAGAGGAAATTTTCAATATACGGATGACAAAATGTCAACGTAAACATAATGATTGGGTCTTTTTTTTCCATAATTTCAGGATTAATCCTTTAATTACCTTTTTTTTGTCTTATTGTCTGTTCTTCATTATCATTTCTTTTTTTATTGACACTCCACACAAGTATTTCCCTCATCCATTTCACCATAGTGCTGTCACACAATCAAAAAAGAGACCTCTGACTTTTCCCCCCATTTCCCTTCTTTTTTTAAAATTATTTATTCATTTATTTTTGTTATATTTATTTATTGAATCACTGTAAGAAAAGTTACAAAGCTTTCAAGATTAAGTCTCGGTCATACAATGATCAAACACCTTTCCCTTCACCAGTACTCATTTTTCACCACCAAGAACCCCAGTATACCCCCCCTCCCACCCCTCCCAATGCCTGTGAGGCAGATGATTTCTACTTAACTCTCTACTTTGATTACATTCATTATTTCGGCAAAAGATGCACCATTATTGTTTAGAATTTCCCCCCAACAATCAGAACTGCTGAAAAGGCATTGTGAAATACTTTGTTTTCTATAGCTGGTTGTGAGAACCATATGATGTCGCGCAGCCACTATTGAGATTTTGGATTTCTGATATTTTACTAGGTAAGTCTGGAGGGATTTCTGCCAAGAGCCAGATAATTACGAGATTGGTTTCTGTGCATCTGGTGTTGTTTGCCAACTTCTTTGTTTTATTTATTCATTTTTCACATACAGGTGTAACATGTAGTAATTGTCTATCACTTCCTATTTCATTGATTGTACTTAGTATCTAGCTATTTTATTCCAAATGGCACAATTTCATCTTTTCTAATGACAGTGGAATTCTTAATGTATGTACTTTAGATTCTTTGTCCAGCCATCTGACATTAGGCATCTCAGTTGATTCCATGTTGGTAACTACGGTGAATAATGCTGCTGTACATAGAAGAACGGATATATCTTTTCAAATTAGAGTTTCCATTTTCTTCAAGCAGATGCCTAGGAATGTATATCTATTTTTTACTGCTTCCTCATCAAACACTGCTATGGAGAAGATGAGCATTAGGAAATCATCTTGACTGTTATAAATTTTTCAAATTTTAAGCTAGAAAAGAATATAACATATGAAAATACAATAATATATTCGAAACTATAAAGAAGACTATCTTTGTCTTTTTCATGTTCTGCTTCATCGTACTGTATAGAATATAACATGGGGTTCTCTTTTTTCATGGGATTTACAAAATACTACATAAGTTTTTATACATTTTGTTAAAAGTACATTCTAACTAATTTTGAGTTCAAACATTAATGTTTTTAATTAACATTAATTAACATTTAAAATGTTTTTTAAAGATTGGGGATTTAATCTACATTCAGTCTCTAGAGTCAGAAATTAAGAAAAACACAAAGAACTACTTTCTTTTGTAATGTGTTTATTTACTTTCTTATTGTGAAAAACTCAAAAGCTGCTAGAACATCACTAGTACAGGGAAAACATACTGATTGTGAGAGTTCATATAAGGCGTATTAGTATACCTTTCCTTATTCTTTTTTTGGTGGGGGAATCTTGGGAGGCCATATCCAGCAATAATCAGGGGTTACTCCTGGCTCTGCACTCAGAAATTACTCCTGGTGGTGCTTGGGGGACCATATGGGATACTTGGGATCAAACCCTGGTCAGCCTTATGCAGAGCAAATGCCATATCTGCTGTACTGTCGCTCCATTCCTACTTTGTTTTTTCTTTTTTTTTTTTCTTTTTTGGGTCACACCTGGTGATGCACTGGGGTTACTCCTGCCTCTGCACTCAGGAATCACCCCTGGTGGTGCTCAGGGGATCACATGGGATGCTGGGAATCGAATCCGGGTCTTCCACGTGCAAGGCAAACGCCCTACCCTCTGTACTATAGATCTAGCCCCTCCATTCCTACTTAGCATTATTCTAAAATGATGAAATCACAAATCTTAGAAGTATATTTTATAATCCTGGAATGAACTGCCATAATTTAACTTAAACAGTGATTTTAGAAGTTTTAAAACAGCGCCAGAGCAATAGTACAGTGGGTAGGGTGTTTGCCTTGCATATAGCCAAACCTAGGTTTGATCCCCAACATATCATATGGTCACCCCTAACACCTCCAGGTATAATTCCTAAGTGCAGAGCCAGGATCAACCCCTCAGCACTGCAGAGTCTGGCAACAAAAGAAGTTTTAAAACATGGAGGAGCGCCAGAATGATAGTACAGTGGCTAGGGCATTTGCCTTGCATGCTGTTGACCTGGGTTCAATCCCCAAGACTGTGAATGGTTCCCTGAGCATTGCCAAGGGTGATTCCTAAGTGCAGATTCAAGAGTAACCCCTGAGCATCGCCGGGTGTGACCCAAAAACTAAATAAAAAATAAAACAACAAAAAGTGGGAAAAGGACCAAGAATGCCCTGAGTTTAATCCCTGAACTTCCCTGGCCTCCCAGACACTGCCAGGAATGACCTCCTCAACTACCAACACCACCTTATGTAAGAGTTGTGTAGATCGATTGGGTTGCTTTGGTTGTTTTTTTAAGACATAGTGGTTTTTGTTTGTTTTCTTTTTGGGTCATACCTGACAGTGCTCAGAGGTTACTCCTGGCTTTGCATGCAGTAATTACTCCTGGAGTTGCTCAGGGGACCATATAGGATGACGAGGATTGAAGCACCAGGGATTGAACCCAGGTCAGCCGCATGCAAGACAGATGCCCTACCCACTGTACTATTGCTCTGGCTCCAAGACATAGTGTTTTCTGTTAAATCAAGTTTTACTTGAATTTTAGGTACTTTGGGCGATGGGGGACCAGTGGTAGAGGCTCACCTGATGGTGTTCAGAGCTTATTCCAGGTTGCATGAGTGCAGAGCATTTATTAGCATTATAAAAATAGATTATTGGGGGGGCTGAAGGCCATACGTAGCTGTGCTAAGGAATTACTCTTAGCTCTGTGCTCAGAGAACCTGATGTAATCCCTGAGGTCGAACCTGAGTGAGGCTTATGTAAGCGCCTTACACACTGTTTTATCCCTCCAACTCCTAACTGTATTATTTATCTATACAGGAATCTGAGCAGAAATATAAAGCTGATAGAAAGAAATGGTTGGAAGAAAAAATGATGCTGATCACTCAAGCAAGAGAAGCTGAGAATCTAAGAAACAAGGAAATGAAAAAATTTGTTGAAGACAGAGAACGTTGTTTAAAGCAACAAAATGAAGTGGTTGGTAACGATTATACATTCTCTGCATGTGTCTCCTCTGCTTTCTCCCCCTTTTCTTTGTTGCTGTTGTGAGTGCTCTAGGGCACTGTGTCTCATACACTTTGGTTGCAGTGCTTACACGCAGTTGGTTATGGCACACTGGAGATCGCAGACTTTGTTGTGGTGCCAAGGATCACAAACTGCAGTGCTGCTGGGATTACGCTCAGCAGCATGGGGGTGGCACTAGGGACCTCCAGGTTCTGCCTCAGACCCCCACGAAAGGCTCTGAGCTGCATCTCTGGGCCCCATCTGCTTTCTCTTTTTCAATGCAGTTTACTAATCCCTAAGAGGATTTTACTGTTCCAGTTTTTATCTTTCACTTCTTGTCCCAAGTTCACTTTTGCTCTTGAACTTTTTGCAGTTCATTTTGCAAGTTGGAGAAACTTTTAAATGTAGTCTAGAAATAGTACTAAAAAATCTATTTTCATCTCCAATGTTACCTTGATTCTGTTGTAAAAGTTTCTACATAATGAGTTATAGATTCTACTAGAAGCCAGTTCATTAGGACATTTTGTTGGGGGGGGGAGTTAAGCTACGCCTGGCAGTGCTTAGAGTTCGGGGATTTGGGTTTTTGGGTTCTTGCCTTCAAATCCTGCACTCCAACCCTCTTGAGCCATCTCCCTAGCCCAGGACTTTTTTTTAAAGTCACTATACCATTTCCACAAAACCCTGGTAGAAATAATGTTTCATTTTATGTTGACCAGCTGATTTTTTTTTTGAACAGTGATTCCATCTTAACTTGGGGATTTTTAAGTATTTTTTAACTTGGATTTTTTTCCCCTTCTGTTTTAATGGAAAGGTTACTCAGAAACCCAGTGTTGCTAATCAGAAAAAAGAAGTTGGTGATTGATTCTAAGAAAATTATCAGACAATACTTGAATATTAACTTTATTTATTTATTTATTTATTTATTTTGATTGTGCATAGTCAATCTTTAATTCAGAACCAAATAGCATACTTATAGAACATCTGAGGGGCTCTGAGGTACAGAACTGCACATATTGTGATTTACCATTTACAGAGGTCAAGCGTTTCAACAGAGACAATTCTTTGGAGGAAATTAACTCAAGGAGACACTCTGCCTGAGGCTATACTGAAAAATTCGCTCAGGGGCTATATGCATCTGTGTTGCGTTTCTCTTTCTCTGCTCGTACATATTAAACAAATTAAGTTTACTTCTTATTGATATGTGAAGTTATCGATACACACAGTAACAAACATTCCAAAACTTACTTCTCTGGGGTCCAGGAGCTAAGGTTAAAAGCTGGCTGGGATCCAGCTTTCAGGGTTAGAGACTGCGGCAACTGAAGCTTGAGTCAAGTAATTATGACGGATGCCCAGGAGTAAAAAAATATACATATATATGTATATTTTTTTAATGTAGGCGTACTGCTATTTATTCAGCCACTGATTATGCTGATTGAATTGGGCATGAACTCCACTAATATAACTTTAAATTAAAAAATACATATATGCTTTTTAGGACCAGGGTGATAGTACAGCAGATAGAGCGTTTGCCTTGCTTTGGGTGTTACTCTTGGCTCCGTGCTCAGGGCTCACTCTTGGTTGGCTCGGGCAGGGGACCCTAATGGGGTGCCAGGATCAAACCCAAGTTGGCTGACTGCAAGGCAAGTACCCCACTTACTGTACTATTGTTCCATCCCCATTTTGTTCATTTTTTAAATTTCATATAAATGAAAATATATAAAATGGCCTAATTTGCTCCTGCTTTCTTCATTTTCAATGTCATTTTTACTCTACTGGAATCCTCATATAAATTACTTTGAATCCGCTTTTCTCTATACACACACAGAAGTTGCCCTGAATCTGGTGGGGAGGGAAATAGGGGGGGGGCGGGGCTCAAACCCAGGCCTCACAAGTGGAAGAGGCGTGCTCAACCGGGAGCCACATGCCACATCCACAGCTGCTGGAAATTTCACTAAGAATTAGATCAGCTTTAAAGATCTGTTAAGGAAACTAACATCTTCGCACTGTTAAGCCTTTGTCCTTAAACACACAGTATGTACTCTCTTGGGGCTGGAGCGATAGCACAGCGGGTAGGGCGTTTGCCTTGCACGCAGCCAACATGGCCAGCCGGAGTTCCATTCCTCCGCCCCTCTCGGAGAGCCCGGCAAGCTACCGAGAGTATCTCACCCACATGGTAAAGCCTGGCAAGCTCCCCGTGATGTACATGATGTATTCGATATGCCAAACACAGTAACAAGAAGTCTCACGATGGAGATGTTACTGGGCCTGCTCAAGCAAATAGATCTTATATTTTCCTCAAGTTTTCACTATTTCATGATTGTTCTAACCCAGTTTATTTTTACTTTTCTAACGTTTGTTACAATTTATTGTTGTCATTTTACTGCAATTTTGCCCACTCACTTCTTCTCTTTGCTTTTTTGGGGGATGAGGGTGTCACACCCAGCGATGCACAGGGCTTACTCCTTGCTCTGCACTCAGGAATTATTCCTGGAGCTGCGTGGGAGACCATAGGGGATGCTGGGGATTGAACCCGTGTCAGCCTTGTGAAAAGCAAATGCTGTCCCTACTGTTCTATTGTTCTGACCCCATCGCTCATGTTTCAGGTGTTGAGCAAATGCAGATATTAATTTAAATCTGTAATTTTTTTACATGAACAAGGGGAGGCGGAGCAAGGCAAAAAGCCCTCCGTGCTGTGCTATTACTCCGACCCCGAGGATTTTTTTTTTATGTTAAAGTATTGTTTGGTAAAGAGGGAGGGCATTTGCCTTGCACAAGGCTGACCTAATTGGATCCTCCGCTTTCTGTATGATCCCCCGAACCTCGTCGTAAGTAATTTCTGAGCGGAGAGCCAGGAGTAACCCCTGAGCATTGCTGGGAATGACCCAAAAACAACAACAAAAGAGGTGAACAAGGGGCCAAAGCAATAGTAAAGTGGGTAGGATGCTTGACTTGCATGCGGTCCCAGGTATGATCCCCTATCCTGTATCCCCCAAACCCACTAGGATCACTGCCAGGTGTGTCACCATAACCAAACAACAAACAAAGAGGTGAGCAATAAACTGATTTTTAAATTTTGGACAGATAGGGATAAAATTTGCACATGAACATAGTGGACATATTCTGTCATTTAGTGGACATATTCTGTAATTTGTTTTACGAGGAAATATTTTATCTGGGCTTTCTGATTAGGAAATGCTTACAGCACAGCTGACAGAGAAAGACAGTAACCTTCAGAAGTGGCGAGAAGAACGTGATCAGCTGGTTGCAGCATTGGAAATACAACTCAAAGCTCTTGTCTCCAGTAACATACAGAAAGACAATGAAATTGAACAGTTGAAGAAGAGTGCCATAGAAAATTCTAAAACAGTCAGTAGACTTTTGTTCTTCTCATTCATTTATTTTTAATTGAACTTAGGAAAAATTATTAAATTATTCCTAGAGGCTAGAAGACATGTTTTAGTAGGCCAGAGAGAACTCACTTCAAAAAAAGTTAAAGTTGGGGCTGGAGCGATAGCACAGCGGTAGGGCGTTTGGCTTGCATGCAGCCAACCTTGGCTGACCCGAGTTCAATTCCTCTGCTCCTCTCAGAGAGCCCGGCAAGCTCCCGAGAGTATCTCGCCCGCAGGGCAAAGCCTGACAAGCTACCTGTGACCCAAAAAGCAAAAAAAAAAAAAAAAAGTTATTTGAGTATTTCTTGTGAATTTTGCGTTTTCAGAATTAATTATGATTGGTTTTTCAATGATTAAGAAATAACTCATTCTCGAATCTTTTGGTCCTGCCTTCCCTGTAAATTTAATTGGGAAATAAGTAATTTGTAATGTAGTCCCTAATATACTTTAGGATGGTGGAATGTGGTTTCACTTCAATTCCTGCTGATATTTAAAATATTGGTGGCATCCTACTTTTACTATTTACTAAAGAAAAAAACTATTTTAAAATAAACACAATGTATAACATACAAAATCATTCAGAAGCTAGATTGTTGGGGCTGGGAGCCCTTGATAAACAGAATTCCTTTTCTTTTTTTTTTTTTTTTTTTTTTTTTTTGAGGGGCACCTTTTTTACCCAGAGGGCCGCACCTAGTGATCATTGGCCAACCGGGCCTTTTTTCTTGTACCTTGTTTTGGGGGGAGTGTGGGGAGGCCATACCCAAGAGTGCTCGGGGCTTACTCATGTTTCTACACTTAAGGGTCACTCCTGATAGTGTTCTGGGAACCACAGTGGTCCCGGGGATTGAACTTGTGTTGGCCATACGCAAGACAAGTGACTTCCCTGTATTGTCCCCCTGCCCTGGCCAACAAGACGCAGTAGCCCAAGAATATAGCACTACTCGAGGGGCCAAAGACTACCAGGACCACCCAGCAATGCCAGGACCACACTTGGTATTGGGGGCTTCAAAGGCTGTGCCTGACAATGCCAAGGGAATAAGGGACGCATTTTACAAATGTTACTTCTCCGAGAATCCCATCACACCCCATCTAGATCTAGTCTTTCCGGAATACATGACCTACACTTAAAATTTTGCAGCTCAGGGCCAGAGAGACAATATAACGGGTAAGGTGCTTTCCTTGCATGCAGCCAACCCGTTTCGATCCCCAGCATCTCGTATGTTCCTCTGAGCACTGACAGGAGCAATTCCTCGGTGACGATCCAGGGGTAATTCCTGAGCATCACCAAGTGTGACAACCCCCCTCACTCCCCCCAAAAGAAATTTTTATGAGGGCTAGGCAGAGAGCTCAGAGATGGAACGCACAGAGCCTGGGTTTAATTGCTCTGGTACCACATGGGCCCAAGATTAAGAACAATCTGATAAATCTCTCTAAATACTTTAAGTGGGGTTTAGGAGTAGAATATATCCTATGACGAAGAAAATGGGCTAGAGATTATACAGCACAGGGAGGTTTAGTTATCAATTTGGTCTTTACTGTTAGGCTATCATGGCCTTTGCAAAAGTCCTCTAGCTTGATGGGCTGGAATGAGAGTAAGTTAGGGTGCCTGCTTTGCTGGGTTCAATCCTCATACTATATATGGTCCACTGAGCCAAGCCAGGAGTGATCCTTGAGCACAGAACCAGAAAGAAGCCCTGAGCAGTGCTAAGTATGACTAAAGAAAAATGAAAAGGATCCTCTAGCTTTTTTTTAATTTCTGTTATTCAAGAAGTTTTGAGGGCTAGAGCAATAGTATAGTAGATAGGGTGTATGTCTTGCATGTGGCCAACCCAGGTTTGATCACCTACCCTGTATGGTCCCTGAGCACTACCAGGAGTAATTCCTGATGAAGAGCCAGGAGTAACCTCTGAGTATTTCCAGGTGTGGCCAAAAACAAAAAAAATCAGGCTGGAAAGTTACCAGCCTTTCCTGAATTTCTGAAGATGGAAGAGGGGACAAAGGAGAATTAGGTGGTCATTGAAGAAGTGTTGAGTAGAAGATTTGTTTAATCTACCCCAGTTGTGATTTTTATGTTCTTTGGGTTTTTTTTAAGGTTAAGTAATTCAATATAATATAATTTCTTGTTACAATGACTTGTTGCTTTAAATATTCTTACTTTAGGAAACACAGACCATGGATAGCAAACCAAGACCTGAGAGTTCAACAGATTCTGGCAGAGCTGACCCCCAGTCAACAAGTTTTGAAGTTTGTAGCAATGAAGTCGAGGTGCGTATATGGTGTCACGGTCCTTTACCCCCCTCTCCCCTTTTTTTGGCAGCACCAAGGATGGCAGTCCCAGGGCTTCCCCCAGGGCAGTGCTCTCCACTGAGCCAAGGCCTCCACAATCCATTTTTATCCTCTACCTTTGGCCTTTAATTACTGAATAGCATTTGCAAGGTAATTTGTCAGTTTTTGTAAGTGTTATTATGTAGTTTAATATACAGTTCTATGATCTCTGGGGTCTGGGAAAGTAATTAAGCTTTTCAGGAGTGTTGAAACTACTTTGGGAGAATAGATTACCAAATGGATATTATTCTTTCCAAATTATCACCTAAAATAGCAGCTGCATAAGTATAATCAAACTTGGGGAATCAAAAATATCTTTAGGGGGCTGGAGCGATATTATAGCTGGTAGGGCACTTGTCTTGCACGTGGCTGACCCCTGGGTTCAATCCCCTAGACAATTATGGGTCCCCTGAACTTGCCGGGAGTGATTTTCTGAGTACAGAGCCAGGAGTAACCCCTGAACATTGCCAGATATGGTCCAAAATTTATTTTTAAAAAAAAAGTTATAAAAGATAAGATAGAGATGATTATTTTTTCTTATAAGAGCTTTCTTGGGGGGTGGGGGGGGCGGGGGCTGGAGCGGGTAGGGCATTTGCCTTGCACGCGGCTGACCCGGGCTCGATTCCCAGCATCCCATATGGTCCCCTGAGTACCGCCAGGAATAAATCCTGAGTGCAGAACCAGGAGTAAACCCTGTGCATTTCTGGGTGTGACCCAAAAAAACGCCAAAAACAAAAGTTTTCTTTTGCTTGGGGGAGGAACAAGGGAGGGTCCATCCAGTGATGCAGTATCCAAGAGGCACTGCAGTGCATGACATCATGTCTGGAGCCCTCCAGATCTAAGAATACACTCTAGCCCTTTGATTTATTTCCCCTGCCTCTGCAGAAGCATCTTTTTTTTTTTTTACTTTTTTGGGTGATTATGGGGGGAGGGCCTCGCAAGTGGAGTTCTAGAGCCAGTCCAGGTGATACTGTGCCAAGAAGGCCATTTGGTTGAATGGCTGGGGCCCTGTGTTACCAGGAACCATCAGAACCGTCCCAACAGTGCTCGGTCATGCAGGTGGTGCTGGGCTCAAACTGGGGTCAACATGTGCCCTAACCACTATTGTTATCTCCCTGTCCCTGAAATGTTTCTTTAATAAGCATTTTATTGAATTGTATGATTGGGTGGGGGATTGTTCTTGGGTTTAGGTTTGGTTTGGTTTGGTTTGGTTTGGTTTGGTTTGGTTTGGTTTGGTTTGGGGAGGGGAAGTTTTAGAACACACTCAGCGAAGCTCAGGGGTTACTCCTGGTTCTGCATTCAGGAATTACTCCTGGCAGTGCTTGAGTAACCAGAAGGAATGCCAGGGGTCAAACCCAGGTCAGCTTCATGCAAGGCCTTACCTGCTGTACTATCACTCTGGCCCAAAATTGTATTGATTTCTAATGATATACAATAATTTTGTCACTGAATCTCAGTAATTCACAATGAGATTCCTTAATTTTCAGTGGACGTTAGATTTCTGTGTATCATTTTGAGAAATAAATAAAGACATTTTCTAATTGTCTTATAGTAGATAAAAACTTTATTCACCCCAAATTTTGAAGATAAAATTAATACTTATACGTATCTTTGAGCACATTTATTGGTAGCACTCAGTATTGAACCTTGCTGATCTGCTGCTATATAGATAGTATGTACAGGCCTAGATCTAGAGGTTGTAAAGGGACTTCAAAGAAGACATGATTGCCATTCTCGAGGAATAAAGAATCTGGTAAGACTTTATGTGCTCGCTACGTTTGTTTATGTGCTCGCTACGAGTTTCTGTGCTCACTATCAAGGCAAAGGTGCCACAGGGGGAGTTGGAGAGATAATACGTGGGTGAGCTACTCACCTAGCACACAGCTGACTCCAGTTTGATCCCCAGCACTGCAGAAGATGCCCCTGAGCACTACCAGATGTGATCCCTGAGTACCACCTGTGTGGCACCAACAGCTTACTCCTGGCCCTGCCATTGCAAGTCATTCTGGGTGGGGGCCCTTTTCAGTTCTTTGTCTTTTATCAGTACTTATGAGAGTTGATGTTTTATCAATTCAAATAAAGTTTGTTTTTGTTGTAGGATGGATCTGGCATCATTGACTCTTGTGAAGTGTCAACAGAAAATAATCCAACAACTCGATTTCCAAAACCCGAGTTAGAGATTCAGTTTACCCCCTTACGGCCAAACGTAATGGCAGTGAAACACCCCGGCTGCTCCTCACCAGTGACGGTTAGGATTCCCAAGGCCCGGAAGAGGAAAAGTAGTGAAATAGAGGAGGTGAACTTTTTTTTTTTAAAGGCACTGTATTTACCATATTGATACTGGAAGGGTTTCATGCAAAAACCACTCGAATGCTACACCCTACACCAGAGTGTCATCTTCCCTTGGCTGTATCCCAGAACCCACCTGCTCTCCCACCCGATCCCCTCTGCAGTGGTGTGCTTCCTGTTAAAGACCAGTTCTCAGCTTCTATTGTCTTTGAGTATTTTTGTTTCTTTACTACATTACTTTATGTAAGTAGGTGAGGGAGATTATTCTGTGCTTACCCCTCTGCTTCTGAGGAACTTCATTCACCATGATACATCCAAATATTGGAGATATTTATTTAATATTTAATGGGTAAGTAAATTACTAAATTCTGCTCTTACAGAACAGAGTAGCATTTATGGTATAATTTATATTTTATACTCTGTAAGAATATTATCGCAGGGCTAGAGTGATAGTACAGCAGGTCAGCATTTGCCTTGCATATGACTGATCCGTATTCAATTCCTGGCGTCCCATCTGGTCACCCTCAGAGCAGTACACCTAGGGTCACTCCCAGCAGTGCTCAGGGAACCACAGGGGCTGCTGGGTATTGAATCCAGGTCTGCTGCATGCAGGGCAAGTGCCCTACCCACTGTACTACTACTCTGGCACCAGATATATTAACTTTATTGAAAATCATACCTGTAAAGATTTTGTAGAAGATTCTTTCAATACTGATTCTAAAACCACAATATTCCACTGTGTTGAATTTAATACTAGATAGCTTAAAATAATTACTGAAATATATATCATTTTTTATAGCAACAAGCATATAACTTAGAAAGTAGAAAGACTAATTATATTACAATTAAAAAACAATTTTCATGGGGCTAGAGCAATAGCACAGCAGGCAGAGCGCCTGCGTTGCACACAGCTGACCTGGGTTCAATTCCGGGCATCTCATATGGTCCTCTGAGCAATTCTTGTGTGTAGAGCCAGGAGCAATCCTTTACCATCACCAAATGAGATTGTCCTCAGCGTTGCAGGATCTTGAGCAGCATTTCTGGCCTCTGCCCGTTCTGTCTAGTCACATCTCTGATCTCTCAGGCAGGGGCAACGCTGTCTCTGTGGTCTGCAGACATAGCCAGGATCCCTGGGATCAGATCACCTGGTTAAGATCTCAGTTTTTTAAGTGTAGAGAAAAAAAATTTTTTTTTTTAGAAAAAAATATTTTTAAGAAATTAACCATTGGTGAAATTTATTATTTTTAGAATTTGGTGAAATGTGAAAATAAGAAGAATGCTACTCCCAGAACCAATCCGAAATCCCCTTTTCCAGAGTGCAGAAATTCTCCCAAAAAGGAACAACAGGTTTGTCTTTTGATTTGTCCCATATTAGCTCTTTCCACAACTGTAATTAGAAGATTAAAATAAAGATGTCAGAATTGATTAGGATTGGAGCCAGAGAGATAGGACAGCGGGTAAGGCTCTTGCTTTGCACATGGCCAACCTGGGTTCAAACCTCAGTATCCCGTATGGTTCCCTGAGTACCACCAGGATGGATTCCTGAGTGCAGAGCCAGGAGTAACCTCTGAGCATTGCCGGGTGTGACCGTCTCCCCATCCCTCCACACACCCCCCAAAAAAAATTGATTAGTATTACCAGTTTTACTCAATATAATTCATTTAGCATCTCTTTCTCATTCATCCATTCATCTTGGAATAGAAACATCAGCATTTGGCCACAACTCGATGTGTTTATTTCTGTCTTAGCCCTCTTCCTGGTGCAGTACTTTGCCATCCTCTGGCCATTTCATCCTGTTCTTCACATACTTAATAAAATAAGTTCTTTGCCTTAGGCTTCATAACCTGTGCCTGCCGTCTTCTTATGTTGTTTTGATTTGGTTTGGTTTGGTTTCAAAGCCACACCAACTGTGCTTAGGCCTTACTCCTGGAAGGGATCAGGGAACTGTATGTGGTACTGGGAGGGGGGTGGTCAAACCCAGGTCAGTGCAGGCAAGCGCCTTATCTGCTGTACTATCTCTTCAGCCCTTTGTCTGCCTTCTTTTTTTTTCTTCCTTTCTTTTTGGGTCACACCTGGCGATGCACAGGGGTTACTCCTAGCTCTGCACTCGGGAATCACACCTGGCGGTTCTCAGGGGACCATATGGGATGCTGGGAATCAAACCTGGATTGGCTGCAAGCACAGCAAACGCCCTACCCGCTGTGCTATTGTTCCAGGCCTCCGCCCACTCCCACCCCCACCCCCACCCCCACCCACCCCGTGCTTGCCTTCTTAGCTGTGTTTACAAGTATTTATTTCTGACATTCCTCAGCAACAATAACAAAACACGTTTGTCTATTAGGTTTCCACACAACTTTCATCTAAGAAAACTTACTCTTTACGAAGTCAAGCCTCCAATGTTAGTATTAGCTTGACCACTAAGAAAAAAGAAGGAACGTTGCAGAAATTTGGAGACTTCTTACAACATTCACCAACAATTCTTCAGTCAAAAGGTTTGTTGAAAATTAATTAAATGACCTTGCATGTTAAGTATAAAGTATTTTCTGATGTCTGGTACATAAAGTCAATAGCTGATTATTATATTTCAAACAGACTAACAATAATAAAACAATCCCTATGTTAGATACTGTGGAGGTTCAGGGGATGATAGGATGATAAATCTAATGTTTAATGTGAAGTGGAAAAGAAAGATCTACATATAAGTAATTGATCCAGAGTGATCTGCCTAAGGTAACATTAAACTAGTGATGAAAGTTACAAGCAGAGTGCTGTAGGAGTGTTGGATGAAAGAGGACTGTAGTGATTGGGAATCTGAAAGAAAATTTTACTGAAGAAATTTAATCTGAGTATTTAAAGTTGCCAAGATTACAGGTTTTAGTATTTGATATAAACCTCCCCCTTGGTTTATGGACCACCCAGTGGTGCTTAGAGCTGATTCCTGGCTTTGTGGTCAGGGATCACTCCTGGTGGGGTTCGGGGGTGCTGGGGATTGAACCCAGATTGGTCACATGAAAGGCAAGCGCCCTACCTGCTGTACTATCTCTCCATCCTCAGGTTTGAAATTTTTTTTTTCTTTTTGGGTCATACCCAGCGATGCTCAGGGGTTACCGCTGGCTCTGCGCTCAGGAATTACTCCTGGCGGTGCTTGGGGGAACATATGGGATGCCAGGGATCGAACCAGGGTCGGCCGCGTGCAAGGCAAAAGCCCTACCCACTTTATTATCGCTCAGGCTCCAGGTTTGAAATTCTTAAGGAATAATTTCAGATCTTTGCAGTTTGAAAATTATTACAAGAATTAGTGTCTATATTTGTTTCACAGCAAAGAAGATAATTGAAACAATGAGTTCTTCAAAGCCCTCAACTGTAGAAGCAAGTAAAGAAAATGTGTCTCGACCGAAACGGGCCAAACGGAAATTGCACACACAGGAAATTTCATCTCCTATTGATATATCTGGCCAAGTGGTAAGCTGCTATTTCAGTTTCCTTAAATTTTCTAAAGTTTTGATAACAATTTAAAGTATAAATGGATTGAATTTCTATTCTCTCTAAATCAGGTCTCTTAAAATACATGTTTTAAGAATATTTTTTATGTGGGGCTGGAGCAATAGCACAGCTGGTAGGGCGTTTGCCTTGCACTTGGCCGACCCAGGTTCGATTCCTCCACCCCTCTCGGAGAGCCCGGCAAGCCACCGAGCGTATCTTGCCGGCACAGCAAAGTTTGGCAAGCTACCCGTGATGTATTCGATATGCCAAACACGGTAACAAGTGTCACAATGGAGACATTACTGGGCCCGCTCAAACAAATCAATGAACACCGGGAGGACAGTGACAGTGACAGTTAACTTCTTATGTGATAAATATATACTAAATATGGGCTGAAGAGATAGTACAGCAGGTAAGACGCTCGTCTTGCATGCAGCCAACTTGGGTTCAATTCCCAGGCCACATAAGGTCCCCTGAGCCCCTCCAGGAGGAATCCCTGAGTACATAGCTAGAAATAACCCCTGGGTTACTTTGTTTTTTATTGCTCCCTGGGCTGGAGCAATAGCACAGCGGATAGGGCGTGATTTTCTATAAAGTTAGTATATCTGGAACTAGAATGATGGTACAGTGGGCAGGGCACTTGCCTTACATACAGCTAATCTGTATTCAATACCCAGCAGTCCTATCACTGCCAGGTGTGAACCCTAAGTTCACCACAAGGTGTAACCCCCAAAATACAAAAAAAATGATAATATACCTGCAGTTTAAGAGAAAAAAAGATCTCATACTGTACCTACTATTTCCATTGTTAAGCTCATGAACATCTCAGTCATTATATCTTTTAATTCATTTTTCATTGTTTTAATTGTGAAATTGTTTATTTTAGATTGTGATGAACCAGAAAGTGAAGGAAAGTGATCATGAGATTCTTAAGCGACGACTTCGAGCTAAAATAGCCAAATAAATCACCTATGAATAGTCTTTGAATATAAATACTATATTCATAATAATTGTAACTTCCATTTTGCCTTTTAAAGCTTGTTGTGTATAATTATATATGTGTGTATATATATGTATGTATGTATAGGTGATGCATTAAATTCCCATGTATATACATTGCTATTTTATAGTAGAAGTAATTCAATAAAGAAAACAAATCAGCAGTAATTTACTTGTCTGTATTTTCCTTTCATCCCAGTCTTATAATCAGTGAAGGTCCTGGGAAAAAATGCTTTTGTTTTTATTTTTTTCTACAAATAGATGTTATAGGTCAGCTACTTGCTTTACTAATAAGTATCTTATGAATTGTTTTTCCTGCAGCTTTCAGAAAAATACAACTGATTTTATGTTTGTATTGTAGAAACAGTCCAGGGAGCTAGTATATACAGGAATTCCAGTAGCAGCAACTATAAAAAAGGTACACACACAAACTTTGGAGATCTATCTTTCTTATCTAATAAAGTTTGAGTTCTGGTTTTCCTAGGGCATAGAGGGAGACTTGGAGGCACGTTAGAAATAATATTTTGTTAATTTTGTAGTTCAAGATACATTGATTTTCTGTTTTAAAAATATACAATAGGGGCAGAGCAATAGTGTGTGTAGGACCAGGAGTGCCCCTGAGTATCTCCAGGTATGACCGAAAATGCCAAAAAAAAAAAAAGAATTTCAAAATGAGTGCAGGAAAAATAGTACAGTCGGTAAGTAAGTGTTGGATTATAGTTCTAAACATTGTAAGAAATCCCATTGGTTTGTCCTTTCTACCCTCCTACCCCCCTGCAGGGAACTTAGGTTTACTGAGTTACACCCACCACAGTGCCCCCTAGGCACATCCAAGTCCATTGGGCACTCCCAATCCTCAGTGTTTATCCTTAACCTCTCCTTTGGGTTTTTCTTTCCCTATCTGTTAGTCACCAATATTTCTAATCCAGACACTGTAAATTGTAAAGTCAAATCTTCTGAGGGCTATGGATGTTATATATGTAAGTGAAATACTGCTTTTCTCTTTGCTTTATGTCCTCTGCATAGTTGATTTTAGAGCAGTGTCCTTTTTGTATAGACACAGGAAGACACTGAATGCTATGCTTTTATAACTTGGGAGCCAATTGATTCCAAATATGTACTCCTAGGCATATGTTATATTTACTTGATTTAAGCCTCAGTTGTCCTTCGTTCCTAACACCACAAAAGGGCATCCCACCAAGGGACTTGGATGCACCCAGGGCAAGCTGTAAGCTACCCTGGCTTTAAGAAGGGTCAGGCTAAGTGCCATGAGAAGTATAACAAGTTTAATAAGTTATGAGCACAGTCATGGAACAAACTCTGACATGACTCAAAAAGAAGTAACTAAGTAAGGATCCTGTTGGGGTTAGGAAAAACTAACCTGGCCTGAGAACTGTAGTCTGGGATATATAGTGAAATATCTCCAGGAAGAGCCACCCTTTAAACTTAATATATGCTGTGTTATATATACTGTCATATATGTGTATATATATATATATGTACACATATATACTGTGTTAATACTGTGTTCATACAAAATCACCAGAAATATTATTAAGAAGTAAATTTACTGGGGGCTGGAGCAGTACCACAGCAAGTAGGGTGTTTGCCTTGCACGCGGCCGACCCGGGTTCAATTCCCAGCGTCCCATATGGTCCTCTGAGCACCGCCAGGAGTAATTCCTGAGTGCAGAGCCAGGAGTAACCCCTGTGCATCGCTGGGTGTGACCCAAAAAGAAAAAAAAAAGTAAATTTACTGTGATTATTTATATGGATTACTAGCTAAGGAAAGGAGAAAGCAATGCGCCCTTCAATAGAATTTCTTGGGTGATCTAGCAGGAATCTAGAGTGCGGGTCCCCCTAAATAAGATTCTGTCCTCGGGTGGATCTCCTAGAAGAACTTCCCCCAAAGGAAGGGCTTTGCATCTGTTCCTTGTTTATGCTAATATTCAACCACACCTATGTATAATTGTTACCCCCCAACCCTTCACTATTCCTCTATAATTAACGCTGTGAGACTTAAATAAACGGCCACTGATTCCCAACCAGACGCGTGGCCCCCATTTCTCTGTCCGTTGGCTGATTGCACCTGAACACACCAGGGCATCCCCAGGTCACCTCAGGGCGCTGGCTCGGGACAAGAACAAGTAAGTAGTGCTTGCCTTGCTTGAGGCCAACTTCAGTTCCATCCCAGGCACCACACATCTGGGTCCCCTAAACACCTCCAGTTGTAGCGCAAAAATGCAAAACTTCAAAATGAGAAATGGTGAAACCATAAGAAGGAAAAGAGGATGTAGCATATGCTCTGGATTCATCCATGCCACACTGAACACTGCCGGAAGTGATCCTGATCCAAGAGCGTTGCAGAGTGTGACCAACCAAAAATAAAAGCCCAAGAGATGCAAATATAGTACATGTTAAAATGGGAAGAGGACATATGCTGCTGAGATCTCTTCATGATGTATTTTTTTTTGTCTTCAGATGCATTAGGATCAATTAAGATCCCTTTCAACATATCCTGGTTAACTTTTATGTATGCAGAGAGCTACAGGCCAAGACAATTTGGAAAAATTGACATAGCTTACCAAAATTCCTTTTCTGCTTTTTCCCACTCAGGAGAATTCCTCAATCCCTCGCTTTTTTTTTTTTTTATTATGCCAGGATCTGTCCTCAGGGATCACTCTTTGCTGTGCTGGGGGAGCTTATAGGGTGTCAGAGATGGAACCAGGTTGACCCCAGCAAGACAACTGCCCTAATTGCTGTTCTATATCGCGCTCCCACCGGCTGCAGTCTCTCGAACACCTCTCCCTCCCTCTCTCCCACACTCACACTTCTCTAAGTGAATTTCTTTCAATAAAATTATTTTGTGGGGGCCAGAGAATAGTACAGTGGGCAGTGTGGGTAGGGCATTTGCCTTGCACGGGCCGATTGGGTTTGATCACTGGCACACCTTATGGTCCCCCAAGCACCGCCAGGAGTAATTCCTGGGTGCAGAGCCAAGAGTAACCCCTGAGCATCACCGGTTGTGACCCCAAAAGACAATATAATATATGTGTATGTGTATATATATATATTTTTTTAATTTATAGCTTCACTTTTGTAAAAAGCAATTAAAAATGTCGAAGTGGCGGGCCAGAGCAGTAATACAGCAGATCCGGCACTTGCCTTGCACACAGCCTACCCAGATTCAATCCCCCATATGGTACCCCGAGCACTACCAGGAGTAATCCCGGAGCACCACCAGGCGTGGTCCCAAGACAAAAACAATATTTTAAACTGGAGATTCCAACTATCGGCGGGCTAAGCCCCGGCCCTCCTCCGCCCCTGTGCGCGGCCCCCGCAGCAGCTCGCGGGAGACGCCGCCGGAAGTGGGCGTGCCCCGCCCGTGGCTTCCTCCAAGTTGTAGTTCGGGGCTGGCGGCGGGGGCGCGCGCGGGGGTCTGGCCGCTCGCGCTTCCAGGCGTGGCGTCCACGTGGGAGGTGAGACGCGCCCGCTGCCGCCCTCAGCGAGGCCCGGGCCGCGCGGGTGTGGCCTGCCGCGGGGACGCTCGGGGCGGTCGGAGCCCAGCAGCCGGGCGCGGCGGCCGACGGGGACGAGCGACCTCCGCCGCCGGCTGCGCTCCGGGGCTGCACTCCCGGCTCACCCGACCCGCTGCAGTCACACACGCGCGTGCGCACACGCACGCACACACACACACACCAACACACACGCACACCTGCACACAGACACACACCTGGACACACACCGAAACACACCACACACACGAACACCTGCACACACACACACCCCAACACACACGCACACCTGCACACACACACCCCAACACACACGCACACCTGCACACAGACACACACCCAAACACACCACACACGCACACCGGCACACACACACACACACACACACACACACACACACACCCCTTCCAGAGCTGAGCCTGCCAGAGTTCCCACGGGCCCATTTCCGCGCCGGGCTGGGAGCCGCCCTTGGCGGCCCAGGATCCCCTCGTTGGCCACAGACCTTGTCAGCCCGTCACTGGCCTGGTCGGAAGGTTTGGGGGCTCAAGAGAAATTCCTGTGAGGGACCCAAGTGTCCGCAGCATTTCCCTGCCCACAGGAGGTCGCCTTCGAACCCCTGCACCGTAGAAACGAATCCATCCGGAGAGGCGCCGAGCGGAGGTCCTGCTCCGTCGGCTGTTCGGGCCATCGGGACGCCACGTCTGGAAGCGGACCCGGTCGAGCACCGCGGGCCGCCGAAGCAGGTGCTTCTCGGGGCGGACGGAGCATGTGTGTGGGAGCAGCGAGGGGAGTGCTCACTGGCGTGTTGGCTCAGAAACCCTGCGAAGAGACGCGTGGGGAGTGCACCTGGAGCGCCTCAGAAGAGAGCCGGGGAGGGCCGGCCAATTAGGGGAACAGGGGTCCCCACTCCCGTCGTCGCGGGACTGTCATTTCCTGGCGTTTTCTCTTTCCCCGACTCCCTTTCCAGGACCCGCCGTCCCGAGGTGAGCAAATGACAGCGCCAGGTGAGTTGAGGACTTTTCTCCATAAAAATGGACATCTATGAGAAATCCGTGTTGGCTTGCCGAGGAGAGGGGATAAAGCAAGAGCATCAGCATCGAGTGCCTATGTAGTGTCACCTGTCATATCCCGCCTAGTGATTTTCGCTGTACTGACCCACTTCATTATGAGACACCCGTGGGTCCCAGACATTAAGATGCTGGGAACATTATATGACTGAAACCCAACCATTAACAACTTTGTAATTGTGTATCTCTCTGTGATTCAAATAAATAATAAATAAAATTATACAGAATTTTTAAAAAAATGCTCAGGACACCTGGCTCTCAGTTAAGGACACCAGGCACTGCACGGGTCACTGCTGACTGAACTGATTGTTTTTCACTGAGCATCCTGTTCTTGGCCAACTCCCCAGAGAACTTTTAGGAAAAGGATCATCGTGGTCTGCTCCTCTCCCTTAAAACTCCCCTTTTCCTGGGCCAGAATGATAGTACAGAGGGTAGTTTTTTTCTTGAACTTTTTTCTCTTTCAATTTTTATTAGTTTGGGCCACACCTAGTGGTGCTTGCACACTGCCAACCTGGGTTCAATCCCTGGCATCCCATATGGTCCCCTGAGCACCACCAGGAGTAACTCCTAAGCGCAGAGCCAGTTTGTAACCCCTGAGCATCGACAGGTGTTACAAACAAACAAACAAATCTCCCCTCTCCTGTTAGGCATTTCACTCAAAATGAAAGTTAATTCAGGCTCAAGGAGATAACTCAAAGGCTAGAGAGCAGCTCTGGCAAGCAGAGACCCTGGATTTGATCCCCAGTACTGCATGTTCCCTGGGGCACCAATGGGGCATGATGTACCTAAGTACTAAACTGAGGTTAGCCTCTGAGTACCATCAGGTGTGATCCCCAGAATCAAAATGTTATTGAAAGCTTTACACACACACAATCCAATGCTAAATTATCTTAGAAACACAATCTGTAGTGCTCTTATACATGAGTTTATTGGACATAGGGGAAAAGTCTACACATGAAGGAAAGGTTTGGGGGAAGGCCAAAGGGATAGTACAGCAGCTGGGGTTCTTGCTTTGCATGTGACCAACCCAGGTTTGAGACCCAGCATCCCATATGGTCTCCCATACATCACCAAGAGTAATTCTTGAGCACAGAGCCAGGAGTAACCCCTAAACACCTGGTGTGGCACAAAAGGAAAGTCTTTTTCTTTTTCTTTTTTTCTTTTTAAATTTTTATTAGTTTGGGACCACACCCAGTGGATCTCAGGAGCTGTTCCTCTGTCTGTGCTCAGGAGTGACCCCTGACCATATTCAGGAGACCCTATGCAGTACCGGGTATTTGAGCTGGAGTCATGCAAGGCAAACGTCTTAACGCCTTGTTATCTCTCTAACTAAGAAGAATCATTTATTAAGCATAAATGTAGTAGGTCACATACCTTACACATGTGAGGGCCTGAGTTGGATTCCCCCCCAAAAGAGGGGGAGGAGGTTAAAAAGAGTTAAAAGCATGAGTAGAATGTTACAGAGCAACCTAGTGGCTGCCAAATAACTCATAAATGTGCAACAATAAGGCTGTGCACCAGAATAATCTGTGATGTTTTTAGTTGTTTTATGGGGTTTTGGTTTTGGTTTTTGAGCCACACGTTGGCACTGTCTGTGCCAGGAATCCAGCCTAGGGCTCCCGTAGGCAAAGCAAGTCCTCCAGTTCGTGCTATCTCCCTGACCCTGTGTTACTTTTTATTAATTTATGTTCTCAAGCCCCCAACCCAACCCCCAGACCTTTTTTTTCTTTCCTTTTTGGGTCACACCTGGCAATGCTCAGGGGTTACGCCTAACTTTGCGATCAGGAATTACTCCTGCCAGTGCTCAGGGGACCATATGGGATGCTGGGAATCGAACTTGGTTAGCCCCGTGCAAGGCAAACGCCCTACCTGCTGTGCTATAGTTCCAGCCCCACCCCCAGACCTTCTTAAAGAATTTCACTTCCTCTTAATTCCTCTTATCTTTTTGCTCCAAAATTTTGTGGGACTGGAAAATTAGTACAGTGGGTAGGATGCTTGCCTTGCATGGGGCTGACTCAAGTTCAATCTCCAGCACCCCGTATAGTTCCCCAAACACCGCCAGGATTGGTGATCCCTGAGCACAGAGACAGCAGTAAGCCTCAGATATCATCAGCTATAACCCAGAAACAGTCAGCAACAGCAACCAATAAAAAAAAAATAGATTAGAAACAATCAGTAATGGCAGAGATGTGATAAAGGAGCCTCATCCACTGTTGGTGGAACTGTCATCTGATTCATGCTCTATGGAAAACAGTGCAAAAATTTGTGAAAAATAAAGAACAGAACTTCCATATGATCAGTAATTCCACTTCTTAGCGTTGACCCCAAGAGCGCAAAAATACTTATTTAAAAAGACTTTTGCAGGGGCCAGAGAGATATACAAGCGGGTAAGGCGCTTGCCTGTGCGCAGCTGACACAGGATTGATCCCCAGCAGCTCAGATAATCCCCTGAGAACCATCTAAGTGCAGAGCCAGGGGTAATCCCTGAGCAATGCTGGGTGTGTGGGTATGGCCACACAACAGCAACATAAAAATTGTTGCATAGGGGCTGGAACAATAGCACAGCGGGTAGGACGTTTGTCTTGCACGCCACTGACCCAGATTCAATTCCTAGCATCCCATATGGTCTCCTGAGCACCGCCAGGGGTAATTCCTGAGTGCAGAGCCAGGAGTAACTCCTGTGCATCGCTGGGTGTGACCCAAAAAAATAAAAAATAAAAAAATAAATTGTTGCATATCCTTCTGTAGAGTTAAGAGTGTGACCCAGGGGGCTGGATCCATAGCACAGCGGATAGGGCATTTGCCTTGCACGCGGCCAACCCAGGTTCAATTCCCAGCATCGCATATGGTCCCCTGGGCACCACCAGGAGTGGTTCCTGAGTGCATGAGCCAGGAGTAGTTCCTGTGCATCGCCGGGTGTGACCCAAAAAAAGGCCAAAAAAAAAAAAGTGTGACCCAAGGGGTTGGAGAGATAGTATAGCGAAGCAGGTAGGACATTTGCCTTGTATGTGGCCAACCATGGTTCAATCCCTGGCACCCTTTATGGTCCCCTGAGCCTGCCAAAGGTGATCCTTGAGTGCGGAGCCTGGAGTAACTCCTGAACTCCTGAGCACAGCCAGGTATGGCACAAAGACAAACATACCAAAAAAAAAAGTGTGACGCAAAAACAAAACAAAAGAATTTTTCACTTTAATCTTTGTAACGGTATCTCACAGTGATTCAATTTGAAAAAAACTAAGAATAGACAAATTGAATTAAAAAAAAAGAATTTTTCACTTCTATACTCAGTCCTCTTTTGAGAGTGAGGATAAGAGAGGGGGGTTCCAGGCAGAGCTTGGAGAATTGAGTGGCCACTCCCAGTGGTATTCTGCTGATTACATAAGACAACTCAATATAAGAACCCACGATCTGGTGCTGTTAGGACCCTATGATGCTGGAGGCCACCAGGGCCACCCCCAGCAATGCTTTGGGACCATTCAGTGTTGAGCATTGGAACACATCATCTCAACTCCCTCGCCTTCTGTCTTAACATTTATTCAAAGGATATTACTGTAAGGTCAAGACTAAACTTTTTCTAGTTATTGTCTGCAGGTTTTAGGGAATCTAAATCTGAAGTATTGACATCTAACCTTTGTTCCATCACTAGGTCCCTTGTTTCCTAAGAAACGGAGAAAAGTTCTGTGGATATCTTTTTAAGAGAGTGAACTTAGATATCTGATGAATTGATTTTGCTGACTCCTATTAGAAGAGATGGGGCATTACAATAACTAGCAATCAGGATTATATTGGAAATCTTCATGAGGGAATGTATGGGGACACTGAACAAAATTAGTTCAGAAATAGAGAAAAGTATCACTTATTTCCAGAAACAAGAGCAGTGCGGTGGCTCTTCGAAGTGATTACTTTTTAAAACATGGAAAGTGAGAAACACTTATCTTTAGCAAGCCTAAAAACCACACAAGACAATTCAGTGACATCCTGTAAGAATGATGAAAGCAAAAGTCTCTCCGTAAGTGAAGAAAGCAGTGAGAGAAGCACAATGGAGAGGAAAAGTCTTCCCATGGACCACTGTTCAGAGAACCTTCAAAAGAATCTTGTGTCTGAGGTATCAGAACGAACCTCGCCCTTTTTAGGTGGTGAGGCAAAGTGCCAAAATGGCCGGTTCAAAGACTCCTCAGACCCCATTGACTATAAGTGCAAAGACATTTATGGTTGTAAATCAAAGGCAGTCAGTCGGAGTCATCATCAGGCTCCCACGAACCAGCGTTGTGACTGTGAAGAAACACATACCACCTACGCAGACTGTCAACCGAGTGAGAAAGTTCACACTGCTGAGGCAGTGTACAAATGTTGGTGTAGTCAGGCCTTTGGTGAGAGCTCAGCACTACAGCTCCGTCCGAGTGACCACATGGAAGAGAAACCTTACAAATGTGAGCAGTGTGCAAAAGGCTTCACCAGGAGCTCAAGCCTCCTCATCCATCAGGCTGTCCACACAGATGAGAAACCTTACAAGTGCGACAGGTGTGGAAAAGGCTTCACCAGGAGTTCCAGTCTGCTCATTCATCACACAGTTCATACGGGTGAGAAACCTTATAAATGTGACAAGTGTGGGAAAGGCTTCAGTCAGAGCTCCAAGCTGCACATTCACCAGCGCGTGCACACTGGTGAGAAGCCCTATGAGTGCGGGGAGTGTGGGATGAGCTTCAGTCAGCGCTCCAACCTTCACATCCATCAGCGAGTCCACACAGGAGAAAGGCCCTACAAGTGTGGAGAGTGCGGGAAGGGCTTCAGTCAGAGTTCAAACCTTCACATTCACCGTTGCATCCACACAGGAGAGAAGCCCTATCAGTGCTATGAGTGTGGGAAAGGCTTCAGTCAGAGCTCAGACCTCCGCATCCATCTCAGAGTCCACACAGGAGAGAAGCCCTATCATTGTGGCAAATGTGGGAAGGGCTTTAGCCAGAGCTCCAAACTCCTCATCCACCAGAGAGTACATACCGGAGAGAAACCCTATGAGTGCAGCAAGTGTGGGAAGGGCTTCAGTCAGAGCTCCAATCTCCACATCCACCAGCGGATTCACAAGAAAGATCCTCATTAAATGGTACCGTCAATCACGGCGCTAATACAATCTCCAAAGACTGTTATATATTCTAATATCTGTTTATTCTGAATGACAGAAGAATTTCTCAGATTGTTCTCTCACTGAAATTCACTCATTCAAAATATTTAAGTGCCAAGAACTCTTTGTTGTCATATACAATGAGTTATTTCGTTCCTCAAATGCATACAATGAAAATGTCTGTACTCTGCAGTTCAGCCAGTGTTCTAATGCATTTTTGGGTGAGGGTGGGGGGTGGGTCCTGCACTCAGGCATCATGTCTGGCAGGCTTGGGGGACCATATGGGATGCTGGGGATCAAACGTAAGCCAGCCAGTCATGTGCAAGACAAGTACCCTACCCACTGTACTCCCTCTCCAGCCCGTGTTATATTTTTAACTGTTAACTATAAAGGTAAAGGTAAAGGCCCTCCCGTTGATCGTCGATTTGCTCGAGCGGTCCCAGTAACGTCTCCATTGGAGACTTTGTTGTTACTGTGTCTGGCATATGGAATACTCTCGGTAGCTTGCCGGGCTCTCCGATAGCCATTGTTTTTAATGGCAAGAATTGCCATTATGTGTCCCAGCAGAATGTATTTCCCTTTGTTCAGTATCTGAAAAATTTAAGCTTTTTTTTTTTTTTTTTTGGCTTTTTGGTTTCTTGGGTCACATCCAGCAATGCACAGGAGTTACTCCTGGCTCATGCACTCAGGAATTACTCCTGGCAGTGCTCAGGGGACCATATGAGATGCTGGGAATCGAACCCGGCTTGGCCACGTGCAAGGCAAATGCCCTACCTACTGTCCTATCACTCCAAAAACTCTCATTTCTAATCATGTGCCTTTGTGTTTTTCATGGCTTTTTTTCCCCATCTCTGAATATCCCTTAATTATTGAATTTTGATTCTATGGTATGTTAATTTCAGACCAGGGAATTTAGTGGACATGGAAGTGTTAGCCTTACTACCAAAGAAAATTTGATGTTTATATACACAACCAAAAGGCGAAGAGCTACTCATTTAAGATACCCCATACACTACTCAACATTCGATACCCCATACACTACTCAACATTCCTTTGTCTCCTTATTTTTTTCACGCCCCTCTTCTAAACAAAACAAAAACTCTTGCAGTTTTGTTTGTTTTGTTAGTGGGTGGGGGAAGGCTCACACCCAGCTGTGCTCACAGTTTACTCCTGGGCCTGTCTGTGTAATCCCCCATCTACTCAATTCACTTGTGGTTCTTTGGAAGATCCTGGTGACCAGTAGGGGGCCATATGGCTCCTGGTTGAGAAACAACACTGGGCTGGGTTATTTCACTATGTAAGGGGGCTGAAGCACAGCAGGTAGGGCGTTTGCCTTGCACACAGCCGACCCGGGTTCGATTCCCAGCATCCCATATGGACCCCCGAGACCTCCAGGAGTTACTTCGGAGTGCATGAGCCAGGAGTAACCCCTGTGCATCGCCGGGTGTGACCCAAAAAGCCAAAAATAAAATTTTTTTTCACTATGTAAGATTAACAGTAATAGAGAATAGAGAAAATATCTTCTCAAATGCTGAGAGTCACTGAATATCTAGTTTCACCAGAGAAAAGAACAAGGAAGCCACAGCACAGACTACATCACTGCCTATCTGCAAACCCAGTGACCATCGCAGATATTCTCTGCTGGTCCATGCAAAGTTCTTTTTTTCTTTCTTTTTTTTCTTTTTTGCTTTTTGGGTCACACCTGGCAATGCTCAGGGGTTACTCCTGGCTCATGCACTCAGGAATTACTCCTGGCGGTGCTCGGGGGACCATATGGGATGCTGGGAATCGAACCTGGGTCGGTCATGTTGGCTGCGTGCAAGGCAAACGCCCTACCCGCTGTGCTATCGCTCAGCGTAAATGTTGCTTTCTCCAAAACTCAAGATATTCTACAGTATTTTTTGTTTACTGCTCAGTTTCTGGTTAATCTGAATTCAAATTGACATACAATTTTTGTTTTAGAGTAAATTTAAAAGATTGAAGGTGAAAATACACTCTTAGAGGGGGCTGGAGTGATAGCACAGTGGGTAGGGCGTTTGCCTTGCACATGGGCAACCCGGGTTCGATTCCCAGCGTCCCATATGGTCCCCTGAGCACCGCCAGGAGTGATTCCTGAGTGAAGAGCCAGGAGTAACCCCTGAGCATCACCGGGTGTGACCCAAAAAGCCAAAAAAAAAAAAAAGAAAAGAAAACACACTCTTAGAAGTGATGTTTTTTGGGGGCTGGAGCAATAGCACAGCAGGTAGAGCGTTTTGCCTTGCACACGGCCGACCCGGGTTCGATTCCCAGCATCCCATATGGTCCCCCGAGCACCGCCACTACCCATATGGTCCCCTGAGCACCGCCAGGGGTAATTCCTGAGTACAGAGCCAGGAGTAACCCCTGTGCGTTGCCGGGTGTGACCCAAAAAGCAAAATTTTGAAAAAAAAGATTTTTTTTTAAATTTCTGCCTTGGTGCTGTGCCAAACATTTCTATTTTTACCAGTACACAGGTAAACCAAGGTTGACCACCTTTAAGCGACATGACAAATGCAGTAATCGGTACTCTTGTAGCATGACCTTCTTCTTAAGGTATATGGACCCTGAAAGGGAACAGGATAGTGTCACCCTAACACACCCAATTGTATATGAAAACAACACTCTGGGAATCTGTTTTTTTGAGGACACCCCAAGATACTCAGGAGTTACTCCTGACTCTGCATTCACAAATTACTCCTGGTAGTGCTCGGGGACCATATGGGTACTGGGCAGACCTTGTACCTAGCAAGCACCCTACTCACTTTACCACCTTTCCAGCCCCTGCACTCTGTAATCTAACCTCAAGAATTCAACTTTATAACTAGGGAATCAAGATGGAACCATTTTCTGAGGTTTTTCAAGTCCCTTTCAAAGCTTCTGAAATCAGAGTTTCCACATCTGCATCCTAGGTTCCTCAGGAACTGTGTCTGCCTGCCTTCCTGTACATTTTAGGGATTTTTTTTTTCTCAACACACCCATTGAAACCTAATCATCTACAAATCAGATAGAGACCCACTTACTACCACTAGCCTCTCAAGGGCTGGACCAAAACAATGTTCTGTGATTTGCGCAGCTCAGAGACAACATAAACACAACGTTATCACACAGGGTGTTCATCTCTCTCCATCAGTCAGGATGCTTCATCATTTCTCCTTGCTACTGCAGTTTTTAAAAATTCAGGTCCCAAGTCAGTACAGCAGGTAAACACTTGCCTTGCTAAGAACCCACCAGGTTCAATCCCCGGCATTCCATATGGTCCCCTGAGTCTCCAGGAGTTATCCCTGAGCCCAAAACCAGGAAAAAGCCCTGAGCACAGCTAGATGTGGCACAAAAACGAAAACAAAATGAATCTGAACTTAGAGTTAGGCTTCCAAGTTAACAGAAAGGATTAAAAATCAATTCTAACCACATCCACCTGGCAGGTATCAAAAGGAGCAGGGCACACTGAGCGTAACACCAGCAGTGACCCCTGAGTTATGGAGCCAGGAGAAAACCCTGGGCACTTCTGGGTGGGGTACGTCTGTGTGTGCCCCCCCCCCAAATAAAAGGAGCAGGACAGAAAAAAAAATGTTTCCCACAAAGCTCTGACCTGCAACAAGCTAGCATCCTCTATCCTCCCTACAACCAACATAGATCCCTGCAGCAGAGTCCCAGACATCTTACAGCTTGAGGTTTATCAATAAACTATTTAAACCATCTGATACTAATTTTTTTTGGGGGGGAGTTGGTGTTTTTCCCCCTCTTTTTTGTTTTTTTGGGCCACACCTGGTGATGCTCAGAGGTTACTCCTGGCTCTGCACTCAGGAATCACTCCTGGCAGTGCTTGGGGGACCATACGTGACATCAGAGATAGAACCCAGGTCAGCCACATGCAAAGCAAGTGCCCTACCTTCTGCACTATCACTCTGGTCCTGATACTGATTTTGGTCAAGGAGGTGACATTCCAGATGAAACTCTTTTCTAAATAACATTCCCTATCTGTAAAATCAGGAGATTTTAAAAAAACAGAAACTATAATAATAATGACAATTAAATATGACATGCATTGTTCATGGAATTATGAAAATTATGAAGTGGTATACCTTATCCTGGAAACAGTTTGACCAAAAGCATTTGTCATAAAATGTTGATTAACCTTTTGTATATCTCTTTCAGGTAGCTTGTCTTAAATTGTTTTCTGTATGAAACTCCGGGGTGGGGGGGGCAACGGGGGGTGGGGGGGAAGCCCTAACAGCTCTTCCCTTAGCTGCCCCGGTGTTCAGGTGGGCCCCAGGCCGCTCCCTCAGCTAGGGCAACCTGGGCCATGGGGCAGATGGCAGACGAAACGAGGGTCAAGCCAGTTGGTTGATCAGATGCTGTTTATTCCATTCTCCCCACGCGCCTGCCCCAGCCTCTCTGAGCCCCCCAGTCTAGTCTCACACTGCTCCTCATTCCTGTCTCCTCCTGTCTCTCCCCCTCATCTCTCTGTGCCCCATCTCGCAGCCTGGGCTCGCTCTCTCCACATGCCTGCTCCTGTGTTCTATATTCTTTTCCCCTTTGTCCCCCTTGCTAGTCTATTCGCACTATCTCGCCGGCCTGTTCTCTCTCATCTCTCTCCAGCTCTCTAGTTTCTCCAAATCCCCAGCACTCTGGGCTGAGGTTACACCCAGTCAGGTAACAAAATCAACATAAGAAAGCCCTCTCAAGGGGTATTCCAAAGACCTTCCTGACAGCTCATGGGCAAAAACCTCTTACGGTGTTTTTCTCCTTTTCCCAGTCCAATAACTCAATCAACATCTTAATATTAGTTATTTTTGTATGGATACAGTAAGAGATACATTGAGGCTTGTAGGGCAGCTCTCCTGGGAATGTCTTGCCACAGACTCAGACTACAGTGCTCAGGCCAAATTAATCATTCCTAACCCTAGCAGCATCCGAATCTAGTTATTACTTTTTGGATCATGACAACATTTGTCCATGACCAAGCTCTTTTTATTTTTTTCTTTTTGGGTC